AGACCATTATTATAGCAGTGGTGACACCTAGTGGATAAGTGCAGGTGGTTATCACACTAGCATGACATACATGCACTAAGCTAGTATCTGGTGTCGACATGTTGAGCGGATATGTGACGTACTAAGTATAGTGGAGACATGGAGACATTATTCCACCTCGGAGGGTAAAGGTTGTTTGTTGACTTTTGTCTACATTTATTTTGATTCTCCACATTTTCAGCCAAAATTCTAGGTTGATAATGTGCGTGTTGTGGGAGAACAAGATTTTTATTGATGGATAGGATGTCAGTATTATCTGCAAATTTGTGAATAGATGTGTCAGGTAGGGTAGGGACAAGAAAGGTACAAGTATTTTGAATACAAATGGGACACCAGCGTTAACAGGACAGTACTAAGGACGGATATTCCCTTGCTAACCTTAAAGAAGCGGTTAGTCAGGTATGAGCAGTTGATGAATTAGGTAAAGAGAAGGTCCTGTTGAGCTCCAGATGTCAGACTTATCAAAGACTTAAGCTACATCAAGGAAAATGCCCAATCAGTACTGTTTCAGCTCAAGGAGATTGCGTCTACACCACGGTAGCAGTGTTGGATTGTGGAGTGGTTTTACAGGTAGAAAGAAAAAGGTTTTCTTGTAGAAAGAAAAGGATTCTTTTCAGAAAGAGTTTCTCAAGGATTTTTCCTAGTATAGGTTAGGCTTATCGAGCGATAAGATTGAGGTGAATGGTTAAGTTTCTGGGGCTTTGGATCTTTACATCCATTGCAAAGATAAGGGAGTATACTACAGTACAGCATTATAAAGGTATGGAAGAGGGTTGGTTTTTTAGGGAGGAGACTAAGTATTTCAGAGGTTCTACAGCAAACCCGAATGCCAGGCCAAGGAATGCACCTGAACAGTAATGTTTCAGCTCAAGGAGATTGTGTCTATACAGCGGTAGCAGTGTTGGATTGTGGAGTACTTTTACAGAAATGTGTTAGACGGGGTTAGGTTTTCTTGTAGAAAGAGAAGTATTCTTTTCAGAAAGAGTTGAAGGATGTCAGAGGTTATAAGTTCGTACACAGCACCTTTCTTTTTGGGAAGGTTTTTGATAGGAAAAAGTCCGTCTGATTGTTAATTTTAAAAAACAATCAGCCTAAAATTTACTAAACCACTAAGAGCAGCGAGCACAGTTACAAGAAAAAACAACAGCAAAAACAACACTTGATGAAATTTCAGTATGAATGCTTGCATATGTTATGTCTGCCATCTTTAGCACATAAACATTTTAAGCCTTAATAACGCCCAATAGATATAGATGTAGATATATTAGTCGGGGTGTGTACTATACTGCGCCCTTTAAGACTATAATATCCCTGATTCTGTGCTTATAACACACCGGTGAATCTTAGCCCATCAAGGAAGTTGGCCCAGTTTCAGTGATTGAATTTCCTCTATGGTTACATTGTACATCCCAAAACATTTCATCCTGGCAACACAGTTTGTTAGTAGTTGTGTACTGTACATGTATTGGTGTTTTCTCTGCTTTCTTTGCAGAATCTGCATGTCCGTGTTGGGTTATATGAATCTTCTTCAGATGCCCATTCAGTCTGCACTGTCTTGTTAAGAATCCAATTAGAATTAGCATTTTTTCCTGCTTCATTTGATGTATTCTGTTGTTTCTTTCCTTCTAAAATTTGCTAGAATGTATTGGACCTTGGATTGTTTCTGTCCAATGAGTGAATTCCAGTGTTTCCTCATTTTCATCCTCTCTCTCTCTCTCCCATTCATTTTTTTAGTACTTATGTTTGCCACGAGTATCGGTTGTTCCTTTGTCATGTTGTTGTTTTCTCTCTGTTTTAGTTTTAGTCCTTTTGTAGGTTTCTCTTTGATGACGCTGACAATAGTTTTCTGTGCTGTCCTCATTATCATGTGGTGGACGGGGATTAAATCCCTATATTTTCTCCATACCTGCATGGGACATTTTTCATCATTCTCATTATACGTCATGCATGCGAGTCTGTATTTTCATGAGTTCCCTATTCTACTTTATCGACCCAGGCAATTGCACCATATGTGAGGATAGTTCTCATCATGATGGTGTACTCTAGAATAGTTTCTGGTCTGCATCCCCAGTTTTTTCATGATATTCTTCCGCACACCATTAAAGCTCATGTTGCTTTATTGATAGTGGTACTGATATGTTGCCTAGTATGACACCTAGATATTTGGCTTCTTTTTTCATTTCTATCATTATTCTATTATTGAGTTAGATGCCTCATGTGATCCTTTTTCATGTAAAAACAACTATGTTTGTTTTGTTAGGGTTAATCCCTAATTCTGTGGTTTTACAACATTCATCTGTGGTTTTACAACATTCATCTGTGATATTTAGTCCTTCTTGGATTGTCACAGAGGGTTTCTTTGAATTTTCCTTTGGCGGTCAGGGCAATATTGTCCGCATTGCCCTATAACATTTGCACTATCAAAGGCTCCTTCAATATCAAAAAAAGTGAAGATTGCTACTTTCTTTGTTTCTTGTGCCGTGAAGTGTTTTCTCCAGGAAAACGCACAATATGGTGCACACAAAATCCGCTCAAGTCCCATACAATCCAAAAATTAAGTTAAACACTAAATTATTCAGAAATCGTGAGATGCGGTCTGGTGTGATAGGTTTCAGAAAAACATTTTCTCTATCGTGCCAACGATTCGATCTTCAAGAAGATGATCTCAATAAAGATCGAAACGTTGGCACAATAAAGAAAATGTTTTTCTGAAACCTATCACACCAGACCGCATCTCACAATTTCTGAATAATTATCGATTAACTGTTACTAATCACCACACATTTAAACACTAAAAGTGTTAAAAATCAATGAAATTGGAGAATGGGTTAAAACAATAAAATTAACAGCAGTAAAATCAATACAATTCTTATTTATATTATAAATTTGAGTAAAAACTGTTGATCTCACCAGCCTGTTGATGAACCGAACACAGATCTGCAATGTCTGCTGCAGTTTTGAAGCCAGGGTCAATACCATCTTCAGTCGGAGGGTTATGATTTTTATGTCCTGATTGATTCACCACGAAAACTGTGCTGGTGCATTTTGTAAGAAACCACTATGAAAACAAAACGGTTAACATTAAAAAAACTACCGTAACAAATTTTTAGTAAGATTTGCACTCACTTCGTTGATGAACTTGACAGCTTGTTCACCGAGAGATTTCTGCTGTAGTTTGAAGATATTTCTTTTCAATAAAATCTTCAACAGGAGTTTCTACTATTCTAATTTATCGATGCCTTGTGATCCTTCATGCTAATCATGCTTCAACGTAGGGTAACATGTTGGAGGTGGGCACACTGCTGACTGGTTGGTGAAGATCCTGTTGTGCAGGAAAGAAAATCTGTTTTGGCAAAAACTTTTTTATATCTTTTTTTTTATGAAGGTATTTCAACTATGAAGTTATATGAATCCTCAGTATTTTAAAAAAGCCTATCAGCGGCCTGAGTGAGAATTATTAATTCCCTTGATCATTCTACTGCTTATGGGACTTGATAAATTTGGACAAATTAAAATTCATTATGTTCAGAAATAGGCCAGCAAGGAATGAGAAATGGTTTTTACAAAATGCTCAAATAGAAATAGTTAATGAGTTTGTCTACTTAAGAGTAATCTTACCCCTATATTATCTTTTTTTAAGCATATAAATAAACTAAATTTCTAAAGCTAAACAGGGTTTGAATAATCAATAGTGGCACTTTTTTATAAAATAAAGCTTTAATGAAAAACTAAGATTCAGATTACAGCCCAAGTTTGAGGTAGTGTAACATATGACAAAAGAAAGCAGGTCACAGAAGACAAAAGAAATTGCTTTTTTTTTCACGGTGGTGATATAGCGTGGCTGGATCATGTCAGAGGACCCCCATAAGAAAGCTGGGTGATCGATGACGGTTTGGGTCTAAAATGTTTGGGAAGAGTATGGAGAGGCGATGCAAACGTGGGAAAAGAAAAGTCAGTTTCCAAATATTTTTGTGGTTTTCATCAGGCTGCAAGACTCCCGAGGGCATTGAGGGAATTCAAGGGAATCAGAGGGAAGTGATCGCCCAGGGGCTCAAAAGGATCCTGAGGAGATTGTTGTTGTTCTTGATTCTTTAGTTCTCATTATTTTATTTTTTTTTTTTGCTAACAGAGAATTAGTTAAGTTTCAAACAATTTTCTTTTACATTTATTTAATTCTAGTTGATATTTATTTTATTTTGTTTTCTAAACTAAGCGTTTATATTTTAGTAGCCTATGTGCCATCCGCATTCATTTATGATGAAAGAAATTCACATCCTCTACACTATCACTATATTCCCCCCAATGGACACCTCTAGTAACTCGCAAGAAGCCCTCATTATTCTAATGCTAGACATACACTAAAAAATATTGTGCAATATTAACCCTACAAGGTAGAATAAAAAAATATGGTACAATAAAATAAAACGAGCATTTAAACAAAAAAACATGAATAAATTACTATGTTCATTAATCATTGTAGCTGCGTGATGAAAAAAACTCTCAAAGAAGTGGTAAGAAACATCCTAACGAACCTTAAATTGGTCAAAAATATTGTGAAATTCATAATATTGTACAATATAATTGATAGTCTAGAGCCCGGTTAAGCCCCTACAAGTCCATGAGAAATAGAAAATTAGCATATAAGCAGCACATAAATTGTAGTAGGATGTTACAAGGCTAGATCTCTTTCTCTAAGTTTCATTGGATTCATTCTGAAGGAGAAAAAGGATTGGTTTATCTTCCATTTTTATTAAACCGAGTTGTCTTTTGTTTTATTTATTTAAATTTATTGTTACAGTAATTCAAGATTAAAATAACATTTTTCTCAAAATATTCCTAGGCAATTATATAATAATTTGGAATTTTATGCAATAAGAATATGCTAAGGTACATAATCGTTTAACAAAACAAACGTTGAAGCCTATATAAATTTGTGATCTACATATATTGTGGTATTTAAATAAATGTAAGTCTTTCTTTTCTTTATTAACGAAATTTATTACAGGCATGTAATACAACTGCTGGAAATATTAATTACACAATATATAACAGTAGAGTTGTTGTTTACAGATTACTTAGTGATGAGCTACTATCGAGCGAGCCAATTGCAGGAATGAACTTTATAGAATATTCAATGTACATTTGCTGGGCTCGGCACGTTGTAAGACTTGTTTGAAACCATAAAAAAACTACCTTTTTTTGTGATTTAGGCAGTAAAGCCGCTCAAGAAAGATGTTACAATTCCTTTAAGTTTAGCGTCGGTCTCATCGGTAATTTTACCTTCTTTTGCAATCGAGGACAGCACATCTTGGTGGGAAGTCCTACAAAGAGTCATACGTTAAAAAATCAAAACCAATTTCGAATACAATCAAAGTAAGATTACTTACTTAACGTGTTGAAGGAATTCCTTTTCAAAAGAAGTGATCTTTGCAGGGTCAAGTTTGTCCAAGAAACCTCTGACACCACAATAAATTACAACTACTTGTTCTTCAATAGCCATCGGAACTGAAAACAAAATTTATTTTGTTATAATTATTTTTAACAAAACTGGCAAATAACAATCATATTTACAAAAAGGAGTTAAAAATTAAAATTGTAAAAAGGATGAGAGGTCTATTGTACACTGCAGATTGGTAAATGGCAAAAGCCCTAACAGAAAATGTGACAAGGTATTCTTGATATGACAAAAATTTTGAATTAAGGAGGTGTCAACAAATGAATGATATTGAGGTGTATGAAGGCCTACATTGAAATAGTGCTATTTGCTATTTCCAATAACCAACATTAACATACCATATTGCCCTTGTTTCAAAAGTTCTGTAAGACGGACTCCTCGGTTAAGCAGCTGTTGAGTTGCAGCATCTAAATCAGAACCGAACTGTGCAAAAGCAGCAACTTCTCGGTATTGGGCAAGTTCCAGTTTCATTGAACCGGCGACCTATGACATTAAATTTAATTTGTAACATAGAGCTTTATTAAACAAATTAAATTATAAAAATATATATAGCCGAACCTGTTTCATGGCCTTGGTCTGTGCAGCAGAACCTACTCTAGAGACGGACAATCCTACGTTAATGGCTGGCCTAATACCTTTGTAGAACAATTCAGTTTCAAGGAAAATTTGCCCGTCTGTGATAGAAATGACATTTGTCGGAATGTAAGCAGATACATCACCTGCCTGTATTCAACACAATAAAGTAAATTGCTTAAAATATTAAAATTAAGTGACTTTACAATTCAAAACAAAATCATAAAGTTCCTACCTGTGTTTCAATAACGGGTAAGGCAGTGAGGGAACCTCCACCATGAGTATCGTTCATCTTGGCTGCTCTTTCCAGCAGACGAGAGTGCAAGTAAAAGACGTCACCGGGATAAGCCTCACGACCTGGAGGTCTCCTCAAAAGAAGGGACATCTAAAATGTTAAAATGAAAATTTGAAATAACTTTCAGGAATTTAACAAATAAAATCTATTAAATGAATTAATAACTTGTCTATACCTGACGATAAGCTACAGCTTGCTTGGACAAATCGTCATAAATGATCAAAGCGTGTTTGCCATTATCTCTGAAAAATTCACCCATGGCGCATCCTGAATAAGGAGCGAGGTATTGCAATGGGGCAGCGTCAGAAGCAGTAGCAGCGACGATGATTGTGTACTTCATGGCTCCTAAAAAATTAACGCATAAAAAATTGTGATATGACAAGAAATATTAAATTTTACACCAACCAGTATCTGTGAGCCTCTTCACAATTTGAGCAACTGTAGATCTTTTCTGCCCGATAGCAACGTAAATGCAGTACAATTTTTTCTTTTCATCCTGAGCGTCGTTAAACCTCTTCTGGTTGATGATAGTATCAATAGCCAAAGCGGTTTTACTGCAAAATAATAAAAATATTAAGAGGTTAACTTGAGCATAAAGTACAGTACGAAAATGAATGAATATGTTACCCAGTCTGTCTGTCACCGATGATCAGTTCTCGCTGACCTCTACCAATGGGTACAAGTGAATCTACAGCTTTGATTCCGGTCTGCATGGGCTCCCGTACAGAAATACGAGGAATGATACCAGGGGCTTTGACACCTACTCTTGATCTAAAACAAAATATTACTAGCATGAATTCAACAATAATGTAGAATAGACAGATTATCAACTGATGAAATGAGTCTAGATGAAATTAACTTTCAGTGATATTCCAATTTTTATGCTGACATAGTTTGTTCATGTGGCTGGTAATTTAATAAAAAGCACGGTAATAAAACAATTTCTTGTTATCATCCCTTTTTTTAAATTTATAAGTAATTTATTACATACACACCTTAATTTTGATGTAAAAGGTCCTTTGCCATCAATCGGTGTACCCAAAGCATCAACAGCTCTTCCCAAAAGGTCTTCTCCCACAGGAACGTCAACAATGGCACCTGTTCGTTTGACAATATCACCTTCCTTAATAAGTTTGTCATTACCAAACACGACAACACCAACATTGTCAGGCTCCAAGTTCAAGGCCATGCCCTAAAAATTCAAAAATGAAACAAATTGAACATCCCTGAACTTGTTACGCTGTGGTAATCTCCGTACCTTGAGACCAGATGAAAATTCCACCATTTCATCGGCTTGAATGTTATTGAGACCGTAGACACGAGCAATACCATCACCAATGCTCAAAACACGTCCAGTTTCCTCCAAGTCGGTCTAGAAACACATCAACCACAATTTTATTTAGCATTTGTTCGTACAATCTTCCTTACAATAACTGTCAATATTTTAATAGAACTTGCATATAAAAATTCAGAGATAAGAATTTGAAAAAAAAAAATAGTAAGTTCTTTCAATTTTTATCGCAGAACAGAGTCTAGGCTGAGTATGAAAAATGCACTTACGCATCATAGAATAGATTCAACAGATAAGTTTTTTTTTATTTTTTATTTAATCAAGTTTTGCCCTGAGGGTGCAGATTTGTTAATCGGGTGAATCATAGATAGTTTCAAATTCCAAATAAAGAGATTCCTCAAAAGCTACATGAAGGAACTGAACGAATTTCTTTCTTTCAAATCTGCCTTATCCCTGATTTTTAATCAACAAGTTGACAATAATGTTATCCGCTAAATAGAAATTATTTATCAACATTTTACCAACTTTTTTTGTTTTAAAAGCTAACAAATTAAATAATAAAATATAAATACAACACTATTTTTTAAAGTTACCTTTGGGGCAGCTCCCAAAATACGTTCTTCGAGAATAGAGGAGAGCTCTGCTGCTCTTTTCGAACAGGATACATGTAAGGCTCGGCTAGCTATTTGTTTTGCTGGTCTAGAGATAGTAGCTACCTATATAAAAAACAAATTAAATCTATAATTAGAAGAACTGTGATACAAATCAAAAAGTACAGCAAATCTGCTTTTAATAACTACTTATTTACTGCAATTATTGAGTCTTAAAGGACTTTTTTTTAATACAAATTCACTATAAGACATGTTAAAAAAATTCAATTAAGAAAAGATAGCTTTTTGAAAAATTTAAATTGAGCGAGTACTTGATTCTATATATTTTATATTTATATTTTATCAGCTGACTTTCACTACCGAATCATTCATCATACAATGTTTATTCATTTCTAAAAATCATCTTTGTTCTTAATAGAGGGGCATTTTCGGGAAAAACGACCAAGACACAAAAATTCAAAATGGTTAACCATTATATAAAAGAATAATTCTTTATTTTAATCAATTAATTAAGGTTTTCAGTTGAGATAAAAAAGTCAATGGCACGAGCGGGATTCGAACCCATGACCTTCGGTTTGATACGCCGCTATCGTGACCTCGATCCACTCGGACACCAACCTCCCATTTTAACCACACCTTTTGAATTTTCCCTCCTTTTTGCCATTTTTCAAATGTCGTGTAATCAATTCGATTCTCGGCGACAAATGAAATGGCCACGGAGAGCTTTAGTGAAGTATACTTCATTTTAAACTTATTCAATGCACTAGTTTCGTGGTCCGCTTGATCAATTAATATTAACCAATTATTACAATTAATTAAGGTTTTTAGTTGAGATGAAAAGTTAATGGCACGAGAGGGATTCGAACCCACAACCTTCGGCTACTAGTGAATTGAGCTTTATTTTAATTCCTTAAATTCACTAATTTCGTGGTCCGCTTGACCAATTAATACTTTACAATTACAATTAATTAACCTTTATTTTAATGTTTAATTTTATGTAATTTTTAATTTTAATTGAAATTAATGTTCATACGGTATTTTATATTAGTGCCCAATATTCATATTTTTTTTTAAATCTCAAATTAATAATGGAAGGATCATTTGTTTTTATCTCTAACTAATATAATTTTTAATTTTAATCATAATTATTTTATTAAGAGACTTTTAAGTTCTTCAATTACTTTAAGGGTTAATTTGAAGTTAAAAAGGTTAATTTGATGGGGAAAAAACAGCTATATAAAAAGAAAGGTTTCTTTTTAAATAATATTCGAAAAATTCCTTAACAAAAACTGAAATATATCCAGTGTCCTGTTAATCGATGTTATTTGAGGAAATTTTTGAAAATTTTTCTTTCAGCACCATGAGCAATCAATTTACGATTAATTAAAATGACAAATGGAGATTTTGTTCTTCCAAAAAAAAAAAAAAACAATGTTCGCAAATAGTTTTCTTTTTTGACAATAACTTGAGTACATCTGGTCCGAATTAAAAACTGTTTGCATCATTGAATTTGGTGTCAAAAACAACTTTCAAAAATGGTACAATGATGAGAACCTTGCAGTTAGTACTAGTTAAAACTCTAATCGTATCCAATTATCCTGGAGAATTAAATCAAAACTTTTTGGTCATTAGAAACTAGACAAAAAAAATAAAAGTTTACGTGTCTCAGATAAAAAAATATTTAAGAGGGAAAGGAAGTTTAACTTTATATGTAATCCATTCATGTTTAGTGGTCAATTGACCAAGTTACTTTTTTCAATTAATTATTCTTTTTATGTAAGGGTTTGGTCGAGATAAAAAAGTCAGTGTCACGAGTGGGATTCGAACTCACGACCTTCTGTTAAATACGCTGCTGCTCTACGACTTGAGCTATCGTGTCTTCGATCCACTCGGACACCAACTCTCCATCTCAACCTCCTTTCGAATTTTCCCTCTTTTTGCTATTTTCAAATGTCGTGTAATCAGGGTTTGATTCTCAGCGACTTATGAAGTGGTCATGAGGAGCTGTTAGTGAAGCGATACTTCTTTTACTTATTAAATATTAATCCATTTATGTTTTAGTGGTCAATTGACAGAGTTACTTCTTTAAATTAATTATTCTTTTTATGTAAGGTTTCGGTTGAGATAAAATGTTATATGTAATTACCACTTAACTAAAAGTTCCCATTAATTGCTCTAAATCATACATCTGCAATTATGGGAATTGTTCCACAAACTATTAACTAATACAGCAACTCAACTATGTAAATATATTAAGTACATAAAAAAATCATGATTGAACTAAAGTTTTATCATTGATAAATTGTGCCTTATAACTGAATGCAGGCAAAGAAAATTTTTCTTTTCTAGAGAAATATTGAATTTTGGGTTGGACTTGAAATGAACATATCCTTAACCCTGTCATCAAGATTATTTAACTGTAATGCAAGATAAAACAGAAGATATGAAATCTGCAACTGAAAAATCAGCAAATTCATACATAGAGATTAAAAATCTACTTCGTTAAGTCTAAATCACATCACAATTATGACTTTTTTATTATTGTGTTAGTGTACATTACATGGTGCTGACAGCGCCACCAAGCAAGGTAGGACATCCTTTATTATTGTATTTTACTAAATAAATTAATAGTATTGTATATTACTAAAGTTTATTTTAACACATTCAACACGGTAACTTTCAGGGGAGCCAAAGTTTCGAACTGGTGGAATGGCTCACCTACTGATTTAATAACGAACAAAAAATCAATCAACAATTTACCTGACATCCGAGAGGGTGAAAATTGAAATCTGAACCGCCAATGAACGTGTTAAATGTACAATACAACAAATAAAATTTATATTGTAACTATTTTACTTTTAACGCGTTTAATTTTACTGACCTTCAGAGAAACCAAAGTATTCGAATTGGCAGATGGCTCACATAATGGCAGGTCACAATTGGCAAAAAATCATTTGACCCTCGGGAGGGTGAAAATTGAAGTTTTACTCACCAATGTTCGTATTATGTGTACAATAATAAAAAATCATTACATATATTGTATTACTTTTCACATGATCAATGTGGAAGAATTTCCAGGGAGTCGAAATATTCGAACTGGTGGAACGACTCACCTACTGGCAGGTCACAATGAACAAAAAATCAATCAAAAAATAATTTGACACTTGAGAAGGTGAAAAGTGAAATCTGAACTGCGAATTAACGTGTTAACTGTATAATTAAAAAATTAAATCATTATTTATATTGCAAGTATTTTACTTTTAACGCGTTCAATGTTGCTGACTTTCGAACGAGCCAAAGTATTCAAACTGGTAAAATGGCTCACCTACTTTGTCATAATAAAACAAAAAATGATTTGACACTCGGAGGTGTGAAAATGAAATGTGAACCGTCAATGAACATATTACATGTACAATAATTTAAAAAAATCATACTTATATTGTATTACCTTTAACACAATTTGAAGTGTCAGACTTTCCAGGGAGCCAAAGTATTCGAACTGGTGTAACGGCTCACCTACTAATGTCATAACGAACAAAAAATCAATCAACAATTTACCTAACATCCGAGAGGGTGAAAATTGAAATCTGAACCGCCTTTGAATGTGTTAAATGTACAATTCAACAAATAAAATTTGCAATGAAACTATTTAACTTTTAACACATTTAATGTTGCTGACCTTCAGAAGAGCCTAAGTATTCGAACTGGAACAGCTCACCTACTGACAGGTATATTGAACAAAAATGATTTGCCACTCTGGAGGGTGAAAATTGTTAAATGAAATGTGTTAAACGTAAAATGTAAAAAAATCAATACTTATACTGTAACATTTTATATACGTTCAATGTGTGAAACTTTCCAGGGAACCAAAGTATTCAAACCAACTGACTAGCTCACCTACCTGGCAGGTCATAATGAACAAAAAACATTCAAAAAATGAATTGACACTTAGAAGAGTGAAAATTGAAATCTCAGCAGTCGATGAACGTGTACAATAAAAAAAATCATTACTTATATTGTATTACTTTTAACATGTTCAATATGGAAGACTTTCCAGGGAGCTAAAGTATTCGAACTGGTAGAATGGCTCACCTACTAGCAGGTCACAATGAACAAAAAATAATCTGACATCCGAAGTGAAAATTGAAATCTGAACTGCCAATTAATGTATTAAGTGTACAGTTAAAAAATTAAATCATTATTTATATTGAAAGTATTTTAGTTTTAATGCGTTTAATGTTGCTGACTTTCAAATGAGCCAAAATACTCAAACTGCCAGAACAGCTCACCTGCTTGCAGGTCATAATGAACATAAAATAATCTTACATATGAGGTGAAAGTTGAAATCTGAACTGCCAATTAACGTATTAAGTGTACAGTTAAAAAATTAAATCATTATTTATATTGAAAGTATTAGTTTTAATGCGTTTAATGTTGCTGACTTTCAAATGAGCCAAAGTACTCAAACTGCCAGAACAGCTCACCTGCTTGCAGGTCATAATGAACATAAAATAATCAAAAAATAATCTTACATCTGAGGTGAAAATTGAAATCTGAACTGCCAATTAACGTAGTATTAAATGTACAGTTAAAAAATTAAATCATTATTTATATTGCAAGTATTTTACTTTTAATGCATTCAATGTTGCTGACCTTCGAACGAACCAAAGTATTCAAATTGGCAGAACAGCTCACCTGCTTGCAGGTCATAATGAACATAAAATAATCAAAAAATGATTGTTTTTAAATTTTAATTTTAGCAGCCAATGAACGTGTTAAATGTACACTTAAAAAAAAATCATTCCTTATATTGTATTACTTTCAACACGTTCAATGTGTGAGACTTTCTGTGGAGCTTAAGTATTCGAACTGGCAGAACGGCTCCCCTTCTCGCAGGTCATAATGCACAAAAAGTCAATAAAAATACGATTCATTTCAAATTCTTTTTATTAAATATGTATTACTCGGTAGAGAAATTAAGTTAGCTGTAAAAAAAAAAATAATTAACAGGGGGGAAAAATTTGTTATCTTATCAGACAATGGCCTGATTCAGAAAGAGAAAAATGCCTCTCGGAAAAGGTGCCAGAAGGACGAGGGGGATGGAAAACGAGGAATAAGAAAATAAAACATCTATAAATAGATGTACGGATAAGAGAAAAAATAATTTCTCACTGGCAAAAAATTACTAAATTCGACTTAAGGTGCTTTTTATCGATTGGTATATTTTTATCAAGATACGGTTAGAAAACCGTGGAGTTAAAATCGAGACGTTGAGATGATAAATTGAAAGAAAAATTTATATCTGACGTCTCGGGGTAGGTTGAAAAAAGGAAAAAAATAGTTTCAAAATAAATTTTCGGTTGAAAAATAGGGCAAAGGGTAAAAAAGTAGGTTAAATGTTTTTAAATGTCTGTAAAAATTCGCTGGTTTGGGGATTAGAATAAAATAAGATAAAAAATGTTCGTTGGAAAAAGGAAACCTCATGGAACGTGTGAAGATATCTTATCAGGGGGCGGTCGGAAAACCGAACGTGGAAAAGACGTCGGCGAGGGGGTGAAAAGCCGGAAAAATCGGAAAACCCGTCGGCGAGTTCGGCGGAAAATCCACGTCCAATTTATCAGAGGGCAAAAGGGCCGGGAGGAGAAAAAAAGAACCATATTCACCTCGGACACCCAGCGAGACGAGAAATGGCGGAGCGAAAAAAAAGTCCAGATTCTCACAGATTTCTAGGCGTAAAGGACGAAAACAATCGAAAATCGTGCCGTAAAAATACTTGCCTGAGGAACGGACGACGGAATCTGCCTGGCGAAAGCCGAGGCGAATCGTACGGAAAGCAGGGCCATTTCTTTTATCCTTCCTGAAAACCGAGAGAAGACAGAATATCCGAGAAGAGAGCCAACGAAGAGACGGACTGAACGGAAAAAGCCTCGAACCCAGTGGCCTTTTCATCGCCGGTGATAAAAATAACCAGATTCTCCTTTTAGCCTATTTTACAATATCGATCGAAACAATCGTTGAAGAATATTTTCATGGTTGTAATTACTCGTTTTTAAATATTTTCCTCTCTTCAAAATCCTGTTTTTGTCCAGTATAAAAAACCTCGACCGATTCTGATGGCGTGCACTGTACACACCCGGTTTCTTTCAAATTCACATCCCTGTTTAAATTTTTCCGACACCGATTGATTTAAAACAATAGGTTTAAACATTTCAACTAGCAATACGTAGAAGAAAATTGCAAGAAGAATGAATAATAATGTTTTATTTTGAAGGTCAGTAAATACTACACACTTGACACATATAATACAACTAACCTAATTGAGGGTAGATGTTATGACTTGATATTAACCCTCTCACACCACACATTCACGCTAATAAATTCATTCACTCAACACAAAAACTAGGTAAACACAACTATTATTACTATATACATTGACAGGCAAAAAATTCCACCCAACCGATTTTTTTCATTTTCTCGATAAAAGAAAATTCTATCCTTAATTTATATTTAAATTATACAAATACATGTATGATGTTAAAATGAATTTATACATACTCTCTTATCCAGATGCTGGGATGTAAATCCGACGTATGTAGCCGGACAATTTATACAATTGATTTTGTAAATTCCATCAGGCTTTTTAGTTACTGGTGTGGGATATTTAATTTTGGAAGAAAGGGTATGAATTTTATATTTGTTTTATAGTTTTTGAAGGCTATTTTAAAATTATCAGAAGAAAGAAATATGTTTAATTTGTGTGATAGGCCATTGTATATAGTAATAATAGTTGTATATACCTAGTTTGTGTTGAGAGTGAATGTATTTATTAGCATGAATGTGTGATGTGAGGAGGTCAAAGGCAGAATATCGAGTCGGAACATCAACCTTCAATTAAGTTAATTGTATATGTGTCAAGGTGTGTGTTTCTTAGTGGCTAGTTTCATAATTTTTTGAAGTCGTGAGGAGCAGTCAAGAATGAGGTAATTTGAAAAACACCTTTTTCGACCTTTATTCGCATCATCTTCAGGGCATAAAGTGTGGTGGTATTCTTGTGGCGTCATAATGGTTTTGTGTGAAAGTCTTTCTAAACTACCTCATTCTTGACTGCTCCCCACGACTTCAACAAAATATGTAAAGGTTGTATTGACAGTGCATATATTTATTAGCGTGATGAAGGTAGACACTTTTTATCTAAGGTCTTGGCCGAGATGAAAAAGCTAGTGTCATGAGTGGGATTCAAACCCATGACCTTTGGCTAATATGCCGCTGTTCTAACCGCTTGAGCTATGTGACTTCGATCCACTCGGATTCGATGGTGGTTAGAGCAGTAGTGTATTGAGCTGTAGGTTGTGGATTCGAATCCGAATTAACATATCACCTATATCAAATTTTAATGTATTTAGGTTTATTCATATTTTTCATATAAAGGTTTATTACCTAATACCTTATTAATTATTACAATTATTGAGTAGGACCTCTGTTTCGATTTTTGGAGGAAACGGGGTTGTTCTGATATAGGTAGTTGTTGATACCTAGTTTGTGTTGATAATGGGAATGTATTTATAAAAAACATCTTAAAAATCTAATCATAAAGAAAAAAGCAAAGAGGAACTCCAAAAAGCGCTAAACCTTAAGAGTAGTGCACTTTTCAGGTTTTGGAAAGAAAACAGGGTCAATTGAACCATAGATCTTTTAGGCCACTGTGGAAGAAACTAAGAAAGGAGACTATGGCCATCAGTGACACCAGGGAAAAATGTTTAAACTGATCAACAATGATCATGTAACTGGGATTTAAGTTGCACTCATACGCATTTAGTCTTCACAGCATTGAAGATGCCATGAAGCTGAAATTAAAAGTGGAATTGAACAAACGGATGGAGAATGAAACGACCACCCACTGGATGAAATCACCAGGTGCACAACCAAAGAAGTTCCTTAATATCTCGCCCAGGAGAACAAAAATTTAATCCTGAAGTAATAAGCAAAGGGGAACTCTAAAAAGTGCTAAACCTTAAAAGTAGTGTACTTTTCAGGTTTTGAAAAGAATAAGAAACCAGGGGTCAAGTGGACAATAGATCTTTTAGGTCGCAGTGAAAGAAACTAAGAAAGGGTCGATGTAAGTTCTAGTCTTCATAGCTCATAGTACTGAAGAGTGAAGATACCATAAAGAAAGTATTATGGGAGGAATAAGTAGAATAAGTGCAAAATACGCAACTGAGCTTTTTCTACCTTAAATTTGTGTTACACCGGTCACCGAGTACAAATAGTTGACCTATCTTTCGATATACAAATGACCATATCGATACATTCATAAAATAAAATATCAAACGAGATTTTAAAAAGCGACTCGATATTTTTCGTTAGATGTTTAAACTTTGATAATTGATATTGAATTGTTCAACACTTGCAAAGCAGGCTGGGGATTCTTGTTTGATTATTGTTTAGATTTTGATTAACCGAAATTGTCTCCCCTGCACCTGTTGATTTATTTCTCCCTCTCATTGACAGAATGAGTGACTGTAACGAAAATGAGTGTGTTGTTGAAAGGTAAGGACAATTTTCAAATGTTCACCTGTTGAACCTATCTATTCTTTTCATTTTTATCATGAGGATATTATATAAAAATATCAATCCACTATAATTTAAATAAAGAAGTCAAAACTTGACCTCATCTGGATCCATCTCTTCTTTATTTATCTTGAGGATTTATTATTCTTCTCAATGATTTGTTTTTCTTTTTAAAATAGTTACTTAACTCTCTCCTAAATCTGTAATTAACAGATTTCAATTTATCAAGTTGAAAACTCAATTTTTTCAACGTGTTTAATGTATGCTGAAATTCCTGTAGACAGGATGCGAGTGCATACTGACTTTTTGTTTGTCACAGCGAAACGCTGAGTTATAGGAAGGACACGTTGTCTTGGGACGATTTTTTTATGGCTGCTGCATTTCTCGCCGCAGAAAGGAGTAAGGATCCGGTGACTCAAGTAGGAGCCTGTATAGTCAACGATGATAAGAAGATCGTTGGCTTAGGATATAATGGAATGCCGACAGGATGCCACGATAGCGTATTCCCTTGGGGAAAGAATGACGGACTTGATAATAAAAAATTGTACGGTGGGTAAAATAAAAATAAATAAATTATTTTGTTATTTTGTTTTTAAATTATTATTTATTTATGATAGTTTGCCATGCGGAAATGAATGCTGTATTAAATAAGAACACGGTTGATGTTAAGGGCTGTAAGATTTACGTTGCTTTATTCCCTTGCAACGAATGTGCCAAAATAATAATCCAAAGTGGAATAAAAGAAGTGATTTACATGTCTGATAAATATGATTATAAAATGGAAACTAACGCGGCTAAAAAGATGTTTAATGCTGCTGGAGTGACATATAGGTAATGTTTTACAAATAAACTTTTACTTATAATTTAGAGTTCATATGACACACGCATCAGTTTTGACCGAAGCATTTGTGGAGAGAAAAACCGACTCTGTGTTTCCATAATTGTAGCATTATGCTGTCACACGAAGGGGGTTTGACAGAAAGGTTGTTTTTTCAAGAGAAAAACGACTTGGTGTTGTCCATAGTTGCAGCATTATGCTGACACATGAAGCAAGTTTGACTGAAGTATTTATGGAGAGAAAAACCGACTCTTTGTTGTCCATAGTTGCAGCAATGTGCTGTCACACCACGCACAGCGGCTTAGACCGAAGGGTTTTTTTTCTTTTGGGTTTGATTGAAGTGTGATCAAGAGAAAAACCGAGTCAATTTCTTCCACTGTTGCAGAATTGTACTGACACATGTAGCGGTGTGTATCGCCTATCAGTTTTGAAACAGAGTTGGGTACTTTCACACTGGAACCAGCTACGTCCAATTTTTGAACTTCCCAACTTTGCACGAACATTACCAACCTAGGGAATGTGATCAGTCCTCTCATGCTGGAACCAACTTAATTGTGATGAATAGAATTTTCATTGCATTGAAGTTTACATAATATTTTTATAAAACTTGTAGAACTCAATATAAATTATTTCTATTTTGTATATATTTATTTTTGAAAAAGTGCATACAAAAAAATGTTTGAACATTCTGTATGTAGTAATTATTTTCCTGTTGGTCCTATAAATATATCCTCTCCCAAATGCTTCTATGCTGGGCTAGAAGGACCTGCTCACAGTAAAAATCCAAACTATTTTGGATCCGTTGACTTCCACAATTATATGCAATATTTCTGAAGAGGGCATGGACATGTGTTTTGGTCGTCCGCTCGTTTTCAAGCAAATTCGCAGATTTATGGCCCCATAGGATGCAAGGCTCTAATACGGTCATGAGTAGCCATAAATACAAAAAAAAGTAGTTGATTCTTTTAATTCAAGAAATTGCTTTTAAAATATCTAAAGGAACTTTAAAAATTCAAAGAAAAAAAAATCATTCCAACTAAAATGAAACAACCACTACTGATGGAAAAAAGACTGTCTGACAAGTCTGTAGAGCTCACATTGGACAAGTATGTAGTGCATAGTTGCAGGTGGTTACAGTGTGAGACCAGCCAAGTGGTTGAGACGACCCTGCGAGTCAGTTTTGAAAACACCTGGTGTCCAGTAGTTGTATTGTATTCAGCCAGCTCTGCTGTGGCATGTCATTGAGCATTTTATACCCACCACTTGATGGCTTTTTGTATCTTTTCAATTAATTAATATTTAATTAAGGTTTTAGTTAAGATAAAAAATGTCACAAGCGGGAAGTTAGTGATAGAGCAGCAGCGTACTTAGCCGAAAGTCATGGGTTCGAATCCCGCTTGTGACACTGACTTTTTTTTATCTCAACCAAAGCCTTAATTATATATTAATTAATTGAAAAGAATTTATTTGGCCAAGCAGACCATGAAACCTAATAAATGCTTTTTAGTTTTTTCATTTTATTGAGTTCCAAACTGCAAAAAATAGTTGCGGAAAAATTGATCAGTGAGGTTGAAAAGCCTACTGCTTTGTGGGACATGAGAATTAACGAATACATTTATTGATTAAAAAACACAATATATATTTTTATTTACTTAATAATAATACATTTCGAGAAATATTAGGAAAAAGAATTTAATAAACAGTTTGGGATAGACATTGTTTAAAAAAAATTTTGTAATTCCTCTTTGGGAACTGTCCTCAGAAATTTCTTGCAATTGGCATTATTCTCTCAACTGTTCAATTGAACCGCTGCATGTGTCAAACCTTAAGCAAGTATCAATGCTGACATTTTTCATCCATGATGCATAGAAAGTAGCTGGTGGCTTTTTTATTTTCTCGACGTCACTGGTGACCAGTTTGCCTTTCTTCCACTGCGACATGAAGGATCTATTGTAGAATTGGCTTTTCTTTATTTACAATCCTTAAAAAGAGAATCAACCATTAAGACAGCTTAGCACTTTCTGCGGTTCCTACTCACTTACTTCTTTAAGCATTAAATTTGCCTTTCCGAAGAGGGTTTACAGTTCCTGGGCCAAAGCTTTGCAGTCAAAAAATATAAGGGCATACAAAAATATTTGTAGTGGCAGATTATAGCCCTATATAGGTTCAGCTAAGAAGAGGAGGAAATCATACAACGGGTTATTTTTTTAGCCAATTTTCAGGCGCCATACAATAGGCATGCACAAATTATGTGTTTTGAAGCCATTAGAAAGAAAATAGTTTCTAATTTAAATAAACTGCTCAAGACACATTTTCTTTATAAAGTGACGCACTATCCTCTTGGTATCATGTGATGCAAAAACTTAATCCTCCTATATAGAAATGTTCATTAATGGCATTATAACAATAGCAAATGAAAAACCGCACAAACTTATCTGGTTACCTGCTAGTTGTGGATAACCCCCCGATTGTAACATTAATGATCAGGATTGACAAGAGGTGGTGGAACAAAGTGGACATTAATAATACTACTCATTATTGACCATCAGGTCATTCAGCTCCCAACATTATTATAAATCAATAATTTATTTCATATTTCAGGCAACATGTTCCAAAAAAAGAAGAAATCTTAATAACATTTAAAAAACAATAGGTAATTTTTTTTTTTTTTTTTTTTTTTATTCTCCATGAAATACTTATCTACATGTACTTCTGAATAAGCTTTTTATCAAGTGACAAACAGAGAAAAACTCTACCTTTTATATGTACATAAAAACCATAAATATATTAATTGTTATTATTAATTTGTTTTTAAACAAATTTATTCCTTGTTTTACCATATAGTTCACATTATTTTATAGCCAATGTACAATTTAAAACTGCATTGATCGTGTTAAGACTTTTGAGCAAATTCCAAAGATTTGTTAAGTTTGTATCCTTTAGGACTTTTCTTCACCCAGGAGTAGGAATCCTGCAGCATTTGCCCCAACAGGGTATTCCAATGTTTTGTCTTCAACCTGCATATATCTGCCGCTTTGAGTGCATATGCCTCCAGCCGTTGCACTAATTTAAGTCTTAATATGTCCTAGATTTAGTAGTTGTGCCGTTTAGTCCTTTGATTAACTTTTTCACATGCCCTGTGGTACATTGAACTGAGTTCTTATTCTTAACCTGTCATGGATGTACATTTTTGCAATTTGGTATGTCACAAAAGGGTTCAGGGCCGATAAGTCCTGGCTGAACTTTCATAAACTAATTTATCGGGCCCTTCTTTGGAAAAATAAACATAACTTTTAGTTGGTATTTAGAATTTTTTGTATTTTTAGAGAAAAAATACCTGGAAACAATACATTTAAAAAACATTTACACAGCCATTGGCATTTTAATAGTTGGATGACATTTGTAATTCTCAATTACGATGTCTTCATATTTAAAATCGGTAATATCTGTAACTTCACGAGCAAACTTTAACGTAGGAAATTCATATGGCACTCGATCTAATTGCGTTTTCAGGGCCTCTACGTGGTTCAAATAAACGTGTGCATCACCAAGCGTATGGATGAAATCTCCAGGCTACATAAAAAAAAAATTAATTTTCAATAATAACATTGATTAAAATTAAGCGTAGTAAAAGTAAGCTGCATATATGCTAGTTCATTTCCTCCATAATTATGACAAAACAAAAGTTTACACAATATCCTAACCTCTTAAGTGGTCAGTACATAAATTATCTAACCAAAGATGTTTTAAATTAAAGTGTAATGCATAAAATTCGGCAATGATTATGTATTATACAATTGTAGAAATGCGATTCAGCAAATAAACCAAGAAAATAAAGCTTAGGAGGAGGGGGCGTCGGTGGCCGCAAGGTTTAGTCGTTGACACGGCGCTCATCACTGTAAGGTAAAGGTCCTGGGTTCGAAGCCAGCGGCCCTGCATACTTACAAATGGGCTTTTTTCAAAAACACCGACACCCTGAGGGTTTATATGACCTCTGCTGTTGCTAACACTCGTAAAAAAAAAAGCTTAGGAGGGGAGATGGAAGCACGCGAAATCAATATCAAAGAAAGAAAAATAAAGATTAAAAATAAAAGGACGGGACTACAGTTAAAAAACCAAAAAATAAAATAAACTACATGCAGATGTAGATAAAAAAGAAACGCGATATAAAATTGCAGAAATGTACTCTTCATAACAAGCGAGTTGATAATATCTTTTAAACAAGCCAAATAATATTAATCCAATAACATCTAAATATGGAAACCAAGAAAGAAAAAAGTACAGTCAACTCTTGATAATGAAAAACCCAAGGGGTCACAAAAATAATTCCAATCATAAAGAGGAAAGAAAAAAATTGTTAAGAGTTGTTTGCATTTTTCCAAGTTATTACTTAAATTGTACATATATAAAACAGTAAAAATAATGAAAAAGCAGAAATAGTCAATTGTAAAATTGATCGTTATAAAGCATTATTAAAAAAAATCGTGAAGTGGTTTTTGTTTCACTGTGGCCTGGCATCCTTTGCTTAAATGATTTTCCGAAATGGCCAGTGCTGAGAACACATTTACAAAACACTAACTGCATAACATAACGAACTTGAGAAAATTCGAAGAAACTTTAGGCTATAAGGAAATAAAACAATACATGAAAATTTAGAAGATAAATACGATAACAAAGAAAAAGTGCAAATTATAAAGAAGGGAAATGGCTCCATTTTGATTGCATGCTTTTTCTCACCGTTGCGAAAAATATTTTGTTTTGAATTAACAAGAGTTGACTGTATTATCTTTAACTACATTGCTATTACCTTGAGATTTGTAACATGAGCAATCATGTATGTTAAAAGAGCATAGCTTGCAATGTTAAATGGAACTCCTAAGCCCATGTCTGCCGATCTCTGATACAGCTGGCAAGATAATTCGCCATTTGCAACATAAAATTGTACCAAACAATGGCAAGGGGGTAGAGCCATCTTGTCTAAATGCATAGGATTCCAGGCGCACATAATCATCCTTCGGTCATTGGGATTGGTTTTAATAGTGTTTATTACAGCCATTAATTGGTCGACACCTTGTCCTGTGTAATCTGTGTGCATGTCTTTATAATCGGCTCCGAAATGCCTCCACTGAAATCCATAAACAGGCCCAAGATCCCCTGGAAAAAAACATGAACATTTTATCCTTATAAAAATAGGAATTGAACATTTTATTTAGGATATAAGCAGATCCACGACTTGATTCAAGTTGGAATAAATGTACTGAAATCAATTGTTAATGTAAAGCAATAGTGTAAAACAATTTTTATTTTTATGTAGGCTGTAAATGTGATAAACTCGCCAACCCAGTAGGTGGGAAAAAACAGCATCAATAAATAACAAATAAAATCGAATTATTTACTGATATTTATTATGCACCATCGTAGATAAGCCTCATCAAGTTGAGGATCATCAAAAATTTGGGATCGCGTAAGCCAGATAGGCTTTGTACACCCTAAACCAGAAGGCCATCAGACCAGGGAGCTAGAATTACAAGGTGTTAGATGGCCACAGCGACGACTATCAGGCCGAACCGATTTTGCTTTCCCTTCCCACCAAAAGGGAAGCCGTCGGAGAGTTGGACACTGTTTTTTTCCAGTCAGAGTCGGCCAGATTAGTCGGGGACTCGGCCAATCAACTAGACCAAATGAGGAGGCAGCCAGTGCGACAAGTCAAAAAGAGTTGACTGTCAAGTGTCTAGGAAGTGGAAAGGAGAAACTAGGAGTGGTTGAGGGATTTGGAAACTAGTATTGGCGAATGTAGTTTGGGGTTCTTTTTGTACATAAGCAAATAATAGAGTTAGGCTGGTATTGTTTGTTGGTTCCGTATAAATATTGAGACGGACCATAATAAATGTGTATGAATATTATATCTGTGCTGTTTTATTTTTGAACTTTACCTTCCTTTCACAAAATTGGTTGACTTATCCCAACTTACCCTCTTCACGATCATGGAGTCCTACTGATTCAAGGAATTCCTTTGAGCTGTTTGCATCCCATATGTGAACATTCTGTTCGCTCAATTCTTTAGCGTTTGTTGAACCCCTAATAAACCAAAGTAATTCCAAAAATATACCCCTAGAAAACACTTTTTTTGTGGTGAGTAGAGGAAAAACACCTAAAACCAAAATAAAAACGTTACAGACCAAAACAGCCATTGTCAAAAATAAATCTTCTCTTGTATCTCTACAAGAATCTATATCATGGTTTTTAATAGTGCAATTGTGTGATTACCATTTCTCAATGAGAATCTCATTTGTGCACCGAAAATTGATTTCACACCGACGCCTGTTCGGTCTTTCTTAGTTGCACCTTCTTCGATAATTTTCCTCACCAAGCTCAAATATTGCATTTCATCTGAATTGACCTCTTGTAGGACCATCTAGAATTATTTAAATAAATATTAAAAATAATAATAACATATATATTAAAATGTATTTATAAGGTATTATATATATTATGCAGGGTGGGTGACCAAGACCCGAGGGGTTAAATGCCTGGGTAGACTCGTACCCCATCCCTAAAAGGTCCGGGACTTGGTCGGCTCACGTGTCCTGCATAAACCTCTTGGACCTGTTCACAAACCCCAAGATTTTGGACCATTTAATCTCGGGGAGTGATTTGGTGATGTCCTCTCCTTCAAAGATTTCAAATCTAGACCTAGCATACCTATCACATATCACTCACTTTATATGGTATTAGACAGTAGTTGACAAAAAATTGTTAAGTATGAAAAGAACCATTAATAGTCTGATATCCAGTAGTGTTGGAGATGATGACTATTGACATGACAAGTCTATTATCCAATAAAAACCTGTGTGCCGGCCAGTGCATGCATTCAATTCTTTACTGTCAACTAGCCATGATAAATATCGGCAAACTTTTTATGACAATGTCATTCAGTGTGAAAGGGGCCAAGGCAGAAAGCCTGTATGCCAAGTGCCATCTGTTATATCTCAGGACTTTTGCGTGATTCCAAGTTATAAACTTAAACACCGTCAGTTATAACATACAGCAAGCAATAAAATCTTTTGTGTGTACAAATCTAATAGTTGTAGTTACTGCAAATAAACTTCCGCCAAAGTTGCATTAGGCTGGCTACAAATAAAAAGAACCTTTATGAATTTACTAACCTTTTAATTAACATAAAATTTAAAACAATAAGGCTATTAAGCGATGGGGGCTGAATGAAACTGACAAGGCTAAGGTAGCAGATGAAAAACCCAATTCACCAGCCGCTGACAGGTATACACAGATCCAGCCAAGAAATCTCAGAATCATCTCTCAGAGGGCTTGGTACCAATTCAGACTCCTGTGAACATCAGACACGGACTGGGGACAATCTTTACTCTGGTCCCCGTGTTCTCATGGAGGTCTGGAATGTCCACATCAGTGTCTGATCCGCTTCCCCCTGATAATTTTCCAGACTGTCGCTTAGTTATACTTTTCAAATAAAAACGAATTCACACCCATTAAAAGTTGTTTAAGGTTGACACACCCGGCGGTTTTGGCTAAGTGTTTATAGAGTGGAAAACCAATGCGTTTTCAAAACTTGCTTGTAGGGTCATCTAGATCACTATACATCTCGGTTTCAAAACTAACAGGCCGTACAAATGGTGTATCAACACAATTCTACAACTATGAACAACTCACCGACTTTCTCTCTATAAACACTTCAGTCAAACCAGCTGCATAAAACAGAATAAATCAAAGAGGTCGAGTTAACATTTTATATGTTGAATTTTCTTATCGATGTGTTACCTAATCCATTTAGTGTGAATCAGTGGATCATTGGACGATCATAATTTGTTGTTTATTTCAAACTATATGTATTTTTGGAGTTGATAATGGGTATTGGTCTGCAAGTCAGTGAACTGATGTTGAACTGGCACAGTGTTACTGGCTCTCTCTCTACACATGTTTTTTGAGTTATTCAAACACGTTTCGGCATTGTACCATCTTCAGTGAGGAACTGTCTGTATATATGTATATGTGTATTTTTATCGTTATATTAATTACAACATACTTATATCTATGTAAACCAATAAAACGATCAGAAATTCAAGTTTTGATAAAAATTAATTAATTATAATGGTTTGAAAAAAAATTCACAAAACACCGGAAAATCATTTAGTGATAGAATAAAATTTAATTAACAATTTTGCACTTAATAACGCACATTACCTCCTCTGGCCTTGCAGAGGGTCTTAAAATATCCTAGGCAACGAATAAATAAGCAATTAGAAACAGAATCCCATTCTTAAAAAAGAGTGGTTGTTTCAATGCTTGTTGGAGATGGTAAAAAATGTCCAACCCATCTCTTTATCATGTCCCGTAAGTGTTCTATGGGATTCATATCAGGAGAATGGCCAATTCATTGTGGTAATCTCTACATCTTCCGAGTAGTAATGGGTGACAAGTTGAGCTACATGTGATCAAGCATTAACAAGTTGTCCCCAACATATGGAGAGAAGGGACCAAAGTTGCCAGAAGAACTTCCTATTGCAGTCAGTTTCTGTACGATAATCAATTCGGTAACGGTGGTTAAACGTCTAAGCGAGATGCTTATTTGCGAGTAGTCACCTTTCGACTCGACACCTCTCTGGCAGTTGAGAACCTGAATAATAGACTTCATAGGATACTATCACAAAGCTGTTTTAGAGCTCACCCATAATTATTGACCGTTTGGAGTTGACTACTATCAACAAAGCCGTTAAATGACTGTTCTGTAGGGGTTGGCGATCCCATCGCCCAGGGGATTATACCTGCAAACAGCCAAATCATACATACCCTACTCTCAATCCTCCTTTCATTATTCCAAATTCCCCGTCCTCTTGGAAGCAAGAGGACTTCCAGGTTCACTGGAGCCTAAGCAACAGGTAAACACTTCAACCAGTAGACAGTTTGGTGAGAATCTGTTAAGATATAGCTGGGTTTAGATTTGTAGTAGTTCATGGTGAGACTCTTGGAGGGTAGTCTACAGGGTTTATTCAATAGGCGGTGGTTAGTATTCCACTTAAATAAAAAACTGGGCCGACCCGTCTGTCAAAAGTACCTACACTAGGGGTTTCAATAGAGCTGCCTTCTTTATCTATCGGCAATAGATTCTGCTGCGACGCAGTTCGGACAATCTGCCAACCCAGCCCTGCAGGCCAAACAGAAGAGCTTTTTTAAAGGTTCTACACGAAAACGTATAGTATTGCACAACACCATAGGCGGAAACGATTCGTCTCCCTATTTGTAAAACGATACTTGAATGTGAATCCGATGCTTTCGGACTATGTGCGGTCTTAAAAGATCCTCGTGTCCTTTTTCAGGACTCCGAGTAAGGCAGTGAACGTATGTTCCATAGCGTGGTAAGAGCAATAAAACAATCGTTTCTAGCGGTTGTACATCACGGTTGACTACGACCTTCCCTTCGATCAAGACTGGCCCTAAACCGCTGTAGACCATCATGGATGCAATACACCCAACAGGACTTTTTTCTTCTTGTACTTAAACACTAGCCATGTCTCGGACTTTAACACTCCAACTAAACGAAATCTCACCCAGAACTACTGCCTTTTGTCGAGTATCCTATAACTATCAAATGAAATAAGACGTTTAATTCAAAAGTCTGATTATTGTTTTCAGCTTATTTACATTTTGAATCTTACTTAAAAATGAAAAACCTTGTTACTAGAGAAGACGCCCGTGCAACTTTTATATCATTAATTAATTAGTGTCAGTGACTTTGCGGATCGTCGACGGGTAAGTCCTACGAACTGACAAACACGTTGTAAGTGTCTGTAATTTTTCAAATACTTACGGTTCCAGGACAGAATGGGCTGGGAAGATGATTCACGGTCTGTTAACTATTATATTATAAAGAAAATAATTATTAAATGTTTCAGGGCTGAGAGCAGATCCGACTATTTGACTAACGAGTGGCAACTTTCCGCCCAAAATCGTTGAAATTCCCGGGCCGGCCGGTGAGGTGTCGCAATCGGTAAAACGCAACAGTCAGGGTGAAGGGTCAAATGGTAATTATTTATTTGTATTATTATTTTAATTTTATTAACCACATTCCAAATTATTAGTACACAATTTTTCAAAAATGAAAATACTTATGCCACATGCGGGATAGTACACAATATCAATAAGTAAGTAACTTTGACCCTTAAAAGACCCTTAAAATTAGGAAATGCTTTTGATGAGTCCAGAAATGGACAGTATTTACCCTTTTGAACGTACAAGAACAAAAAATTTGACACCCTTGCAGGATTAAGAACACCGCCCTTTATTATTTCAAAAATTACCTTGAGGAAAACAGATGCAAGAATTGTACAGTACACCCGTTCAGATGGTGTTCAACAAGGAAGTGTTATTGGCCCAATACTTTCCCTTCTATTTATTTACTTATTAAACAAGAATAATCTTGGAAGCCTAATAACACAACACAAAATCAAGGTGAACACAATATAAAAATAAATAGATCACTAAGGAAATATAGTATATAAAACTATACAAACACATATGACCTGGTATCATAAAAGGGAAATTCGATGATCAGAAATCAGAAAGAAAACGCCCTAAATCAGCTCAACCCCAAGGCTCTATGCTCAGGCCTATACTCTTTTCCATGTTTCTAAATGAACTTCCATTAGTTCTTAATTTCTCGTAATTTCATCTTTATCCTTTTGACACTCAGTTTTACAAGCAACTATGAAGCTAGCTCTCTGCTCAACCATGATCGTTATTCTCTCAACCAATGGTCAAGAAGTAACGACATTCTTTTAAACCGTAATGTATCCCAGTCCTTATTAATTCCCAATAAGCCCATTAATACAGGTTGCCTATTTTTTTCTTCATATCAACAGTTCCCCTAATAATTTTTCTCCTAAAGTTAAAAATCTCAGCGTGATTTTTAACTCCAAGCTTACATGGTATGACCTTGTAAGATCTATTTTTAAAAAGATCTACTCAAGACTCCATTTTCTTTGTCCTTTTAGTTTTTTTCAGTCCACAGAAAACTAGAGATTTTCTTAAATCCCTAATAATTTCTTTATTCTCTTGCTGTAGTGCTGTTTTTTTACTTTCCTTAGATTCTCAATCTGCTCATCGCCTTCAAATTGCTTACCATTCATGCATTAGATACTGTTATGATCTTAAACAAAGGGATCATATTTCTTTCTGTATTAACGTCTTCAGCAACCTTAACATTTTAAGCACTTATTGTTTTAATATATACATATTTAAAATTAAATCAAATCCTCAATATCTATCAACTTTTCCCCCACATTCCTTATTCAGACGCACCAATCATATTCTAATCCTTCAACACTTCATTAAAAGATCAAACTTGTTGGAGGTACACATAATGATAAAGTTATCCTTGAATAAATTCGCAAACAAGTGGTGAGGAGGATTCTGAGGAATCTATTATAAATCTATAACAACTGGAAGGGAATCGGAGCAACACTTATTATTTATAAAGGACCAGAAATATTTTATAAAATCTACAGAACCTAATTGAATATTAGGCACATAATTTAAATAATACAATGAAATTTTTAGTTAAGACTGTTCTCTCAGATTAAAAATAAATTATGTGCATTTTTGAGCTTATATAAATCAGCAATCAGTAAACCATAAGAAAAGCAATTAAGAATCTACAGATACGATAATGAAAGTTTGGAAACTTACTTGTCTTGCTGAAAAATAAAAAATAAAGCACATACAAATTACCTTTGGGACATCGGTAATGAAAGGTGAAATTGGCAGTAGAATTGCCTAAGTTTCAAAAATTCTGAGATATTTAGTAATGCTTGTCTACAATTAAGAAAAGTCTTTGACTATTTACGTAAATACAATGAAATAAATATTTTAAGTTTGTATGTATAAAAATATACGTTTTGCTTGCTCTTCTTTTGCTTCTTCGTCTGAAAATTTGTTGTAGCTGTGTTCATCTACTGCCAGGAACCACTGTCGAAGAACATGCATCCTGTGACAGGTCATCATAATTCTCATGTGGAGGATGCTCTCTCAGTTTCAGATTTTATCAAAACGAAGACTAATGATCCTTAGAGCCCAAGACTTCCATGTACAGGTTGTCTACTAATAGAACTTAGTATAGCATTACTCCTTGAGAAAACAGCCTCAAAATGGATAAAGTAGTCAGTCAGATCGGCCTTCTAGAACTGAGGGACGTCTTGTTTGAAATCCTTTCCAGGTTGGATCCTGAACATTCTTCATTATCTTCTTTAGGTACTCTCGAGTAATAGCCTGGCAAAAACAATTAGTCAGTTTTTTGTAATCAATGGAACTAATGTTCAGAACTAAAAACAAAAACGCATTTACTCAATACAGAAGAGCTGCTGATTAGCGAATGCAAGGTCAAACTTGTACCAAAAGTGGACAATTGAGTAATTTTTTTTGCTTTTAAGATTCTGTTTATTACAAGATAAATTTAGCACTTAATAATACAATTTGAATTTAATTTGGATGGTGTTCGAGTCGTTAGGGTCACCAACTCATATTGCCACGCCTTGGTTTGAACTCGGTCTAGCATATGGAATTTTAATTGATGTGGAAAAAAGTGTTGTAAAGTGGTCGTCCGTTGTCCCCAACTGTAACACAACTGTAGTTGGAGGTTAAGCAATTCTAGCAGGAATTACTTTATGATAAGGAAGAGAATCCAATAAAGATATTTCTCTCCAGAATTGTTCTTTTCTTTAATTTTACTTTTGGATTTAATTTAATAAGCCATTTTGTTCATCAGGAGTATGAATATAAGGAAAATGACTGGTAGTAAGATTGTGGAAAGATCGAAAGAATAAGATTATAATTTTGCTTATATATATTTTTTTCTGTTTTATTATGAATTACAAAATAGCATTTTCTTGATAGGTGGAACATGAAATTGTAAATTCTAACTAGACATAGTTTTTAACTGTTAACGTGTTTTTACATGGAATGCTTTTCAATCTTCATACCTTACTTTTACCATCAACAATAAAGAACAAATATTTTCTACACAAAATTATCTAAAATTAACTCTCAATATGCTACAATTTGGTAAGATAATGTACATATAAATACAATTAACATAGCTACAATGATCTTGAAACAAAATTTTAAAATATATACAACTTTATAAGTTCACAACAATTTTCTCTCTGACGGCTAATTTTCACCTTTTGAACATAAACATTGATCGCTTCTCTAAAATGTAATCCTATTATGTACATAACTGTAAAATTGATATATAAGTACATTATGAGAATTAGGTACAGATAGAAACCCTTTTATCAAAATATTTGTTGATCGATGATGACACAAAATGTTAATGGATTATTACCGATGAATACTTTCAAGGTAAAATTTAGATCACATTTGTACAATAAATAGAAAATTTAATATATTGCAACTCTATTATTTTTTCTGTCGATTTGTTTACAGAAGAAAATGTAAAGTCATTGTATTTCAGGGAGATATATGATAAATATATTACAATTGTAGTCAGACTAAATAATATTTAAAAAAAAAATTATAGATATTCTATTAACATTAATAACTGAAATTTGTTTTGTAATGAATCAAGTACCTATAGGATAATGGAAGATTGATTCTAGACCTGCATACGGCTGTTAACGTAAAACTGGTGAGCGGAGAAAACTAACGTGAAAATGTACAGGCAGGCAGCAATCCAACAGTTGTAAGCATTCTGGAAAAAAAATGTATACAAAAACATTTTTGTATTTTATAAGAAAGAATCAAAAGAACAATTTTACCATTGCATATCCATTATCAGCATCGCGGAAAAAAACCTGAGTGTCAGTGTAAGACTCTTGTAAGTGAATATCTTCAAGTAATGCTACACTGTGAGCATAATAAAATATGCCCATGCATACCTAGAACAACGTCAAGTAAGAGATAAAATCATTTTCATTCAATTTTTTTAAAAATAAAAGGCAAAAAATAAAACAAATGGAAGAATGACCATGATAAACAGGGATGTGATGGGTCTGCGGTGGACGAGTGGTTAGTGTCCAAATCGTATTGGCTAGCGGTTCTAGATTCGAATCTTGGCATAAACTAAGATATTTTAATTAATAATGATATGAAAAATGTAATGTAAATTGGCTTGACTGCTTGTATGCGACACCCAATGAGTAGTTGGAAGTTAAGCCTTCCTGTATGACAGGAATTACTTTACTTTACCTTTTACCTACGAGATTTTTTAAAAATTATGCTACAAGAGTGCTAGAACGCTACAATTCACTTAGTTGTCTTCGTAATTTTTTTATTATAAAATGTGGCATAATGAATGACTTGTCAGTGAATCATGCCGGCTAAACAGAATGACGTCTCTGCTGCTATTTCTTTTGTCTAAACAGTTGAACAGAACCCGTACCCGTGTTTATGGAATTGTTCTTTGAAAAGTTATTCAAAAAATGATTTAACAAACATAGCATGGAAGAAAATATCTACGAAAAGCAGAAGCTGAAAATATTGTTCACTTATAATTTCCAGTGATTAAGTACCGGTAAGTAATAATGACATCTCTGAAAAGCTCATGATTACAACTGTGTAAAAAGGTACTAAGGTATATATCGTATCGCTTGTCACTTTGTTCCAGTGGGCACAAGAGTGTTGCGCCAATAAAAATCATATCAGGCAATGAAAGATCACTTCATGTTACATCACCTATCGATTGACCAAGTAAAATTTGATGGGACATCTATTGGTCCTGAACCCTTTTGTGTCATACCAAACTGCCAAAAACGCGGATCCACTAAGACAATTTATTAAAAATAAATCCTCTGTTCAATGAGAATGTAGCCCATGACAGAGGCATTCCAATAAGTTCATCAAAGGACCATTACAGAAACTAACAGCAGAACTATAAAATTTAGGACATGCTTGGACTAGAAAAATAGTTTGGTCTGCTGACTGGACACTGCAGACTCAGGAGGCATATGTATAGACTTGGAGAGGCAGAAACAAGCCTGTGTAGACATTGCCAAGAGGAAGAAGAAACAACAGAACATGTCCTCTGTTGGTGCGAAGGTCTATAAGCTGATTCCTAATCCTGGGAGAGGAAAAGGCAGGACCTGAATACACATGGAAGCCCTTGAAAAAGCTTTGGGGCCGGCAGGGAGAAAAAAAAAGAAGAAAAAAAAGGAGATTCACAATAGACAATACTGGTCACAGTGTGTAGGCCAGCTCCTATATAATCTACAACCTATCACATTCAATAGGCATCCCCCCTGCCTTAGATTGTCGTCTTATCTTTTAAGGCACAGGGAGGCCTCTGTCCTCCATTGGCCTTGAAACAATTTTGTGATGTTGAAACAATAAGCGAAAAGGTTCCTGAATAACAGTTTTTTTTTTTTTTAATAACTTTTATTATTTTATTTGTACCATATACATATTCATGCATATTACAAATGTGATTAAAAATACTTTTTTTTTCATACAGTCACAACAGTAACACTAATGCCAGCGCTGTACCCGGAGTACATCATTCAGCCAATGCTGGCACTCAGTGTGGGGGATTAAGGGGCAGGAGGTCCCAAGACCATCATCGATTATGGCAATGTGGCAGGCTCTCGGGACGGGAATGTGCAGAGAGAGCTTGGGTATTAGGGTTAGGATGGATCGAGAGGTTGGTGTGAAACTTTTGGAATTGGGAACGGATCAGTTCATTGACAAAGACGTTGTTGAGGTCGTGAATGGTGTGGTTATTGTCGTCACTAAGAAGCTTTGACAATTTGTCTGATGACTGATTGGAAAGATTGGATGCGCTGGATGTTGGATGGCTTGGCAGAACCCCACAGTTCCACCCCATATGTCCAAAGTGATCACAGTAAATCTTAGTTGTCCAAGACTTGTGGGGATTCTGTGACAGTACTGTGTAGGTACAGTCCTAAGTATATGTCTTGAATGGAAGTCAGTATCTCTTTGTTGTTGATGTACAATGGAGGGCAAAACTGTTTTTTCAATGTGAACGTACACTGAGTACATTTTCTTTTATTCCACTTTTTGCACCAGTCTTTGATTAACTCAAGATGTGTGGGGGGCCGTGGTAGCCAAGTGGTTAAGGTGTCAGACTCTTGGCTAGATCCCGCAGTCTGGGTTCAATTCCCACCGTTGACTCTAGACTTTTTTCTGAGGCCTAAGAGGACGGTGCCTGCAATTGAAAGAAATTTACAAAGCACCCATCAATAGAAGGTGTGGGGCGGGATCGGATCTCAGCGACTCTGAATTTGGCCCCAAACCCCTTCAAAAATAGGTTTCTTCGATAGAAGAACACTGCACACTGGGGGCTCAAATTCAAACGTGTGTTGCGAGCCCCCAAAAATGGAGCTAGGAACATAGTACAATAAGCTGTAGTATACAGTTGCAGTGCTCAGGGGAACTCATCCAGTTCCTAGTATCCATTGTAAAAAGAAAAAAAAATTAAAAAAAGCTCCAGGTGTTCATAGAGGTCAGAGGTAGTTTGGATAGTGTCCAGAGCAGATTCAGCAGCATCGACAGTGTCCAGTCAACATAGTGCAACAAAATGTTGCACTTGATGAACAATACAAATCTGTACTCTTCTCTGATGTTACATGGCTTCTATGGTGTCAGGAAGCCTTTCAGCTTGGTCACAGTGACACAATGAAGATATCCTGTGCAAACCACGATTTTTTAACTCTATCATTACTGCCAGCCATTTGGAAGACAGAATTGTTGTATCGTCCGTATAGCTTGTGATGATGGTACTAGGGTGTGCAAGTAGGTCAGTGTTTAGATGACACAAAAGGATCATAAATGCTCCCTTGTTGTACACAGGCTTGTATCTGTCTGACTTCCAAGAACTCGTTGCCACACCCTACTCTAAAGCCGCAAATCAGGATCAGGATAAGATAATAACGAGTCGGTGGAAAGCATTAAGTTCATAAAGCATACCCGAGTGCCAGTAATGATAGTAAATACGGACTATGACAAAATGAATGGATTTTTTTGAAAACCGCTTCTTTGACAGGCATGACTGATTGAGGCGGGAGACATTTTAACTCTTCATCGGATAAAAATTACTACATATTTATATTTGGCTGTTTATAAGACTAGACTAAAAGTTAAGATTAGAAACTTTGTGAAGAAAAATAAAAGCACTGTTCTTACAATTGACTAAAAATTGGTACTTTTTTTTAATAACTTCTAACTAGTTGTTTTTTTACTTTTGTCCACAATTGAATAATTGACACCCTCCGTGTTTAAAGAGGACGGGGTGGACAAGACAAGATATAAAGAATGGGGCGAAAGTCGATGAGAAGTGACCGGATCAGCTGTGATGGGTTAAGAACACACCCAACTGTTAAATGGTGAAATAAATAAACGAGAAAAATGAAACTGGACGCAGTAGAAATACGAAGATAGTCATTATTTATGAGATTTAACGGAAAAACGTAAGGTCAGATGTTGAAAATTTGATTAGAAAATGGGAAAAACATGGAAACGGGCGAGGCCGTTAAAAGTTCACTTACCAGCTGAATAATGCCCCAAACGCTGATCACGAGACCGCAGAGGGAGCATTTAGGGCCGCAAATTTTCATTTTTGAAGCGAAAAAATATTCAAAATTGGCAGTGAACGTTCAGTTTCAGAAGGACGATCGGGAGAATTGTAAAGTGCCCAGCCCCCTTTTCACCAGATTCAGACACGGCCGATAGACTATTTAACCTTCACTACCAACCTAACTCGACTCGGCCCGGTAATTTTTCGTCCGGTCGAGGATCTATTCAAAACGACTCGATTTAATTATAATTTGACTTATTTGTATGAAAACTAGAGAAAATGAATAGCCCGTAAGTATTTTCGTCGAAAAGTTTATTTTTTTATGGGTGTCGCCTACTTGCCACGCCCATTTAGATTTTTGACAGTTCGAACAACACAAAACGTCATAGAAGGAGTCAGTACAGTACTATCATAAAATAATAATAACAATAAATAAATAAAAATCTAATATAAGATTAAGTTTTCAGTGTTAGAAATATCGACACTTTTCCACTCACGAACACTGGAACAGGGTATGGTCTTGAAGAAGAAAGCAAATAAAGTTGTTACTGCCAAGCTTTCGACCTATTTTAAGGTCATCATCAGGGCAAAACGATCTATATAAACTACTCAAAAATGAATAGGTGTAGTGCCAATTTTATAGTATTTACTTTCCCTAACATTTTTATTTTATTTTTATTACAAATTGGATTAAAATTTATTAGAAATTATTGTTTTTTACTGAAGGACAATTTAATTAAGGGATTTTGAAAAATAACAAAATAAAAGGTTTTAATTCCATAATTTTGTTTATTGGACACAATAATTTTTCTTTTTAAACAATTAATACCATGTATAATGTCCTTGGTTAGCTAAAACCTGTGTGCACATGTTAGGCATACTGTTAATAAGAGTGTCACTAATTTTGTAAGGAATTTCACTTCACAAATGTTGCAACGCTGCACTCAGTTGTTGAAGGTCAACCGGCTGCGGGTGGCGATCGCCTTTTCTGCAACGCATCCCACATGTGCTCAAGGGAATTGAGGTCTAGAGACAATGGAGGAAGGGGCAAATTGGAAATTTCCTGGTTTTCTAAACACTGATGAACAACTCTGCTTCTATGAGGTCTCACATTGTCAACCAAAAATCAAAAATCCCTGCTAATAAGATCCTGGTTTGAGGGATGAATTCCTTGATAATTTCTTGGATATAACGGACTGTGATGAGGTTGCGTTCAACATTATGGAGTCCAGTTCGTCCTCCAGTTACATTTGCCATTACACCGCCTCCTCCTCACTGCACTGAAAGGAGCACAAACTGGGGTATTGCATCCCCTGTTCAAGGTAGACTCTTGGGTGCCTGATATTATTAAACAGACAGAAACTTAACTTATTAGTAAACATAGCAGCATGCTAATTGATGTTCTCTTCTATGCGCTCGTTGCACCATATTCTCCTGAGTTGCTGGTGGCGGACTATTGCTGCAGGTCATCTCAAAGAGGCATATGATGTGAGGCCAACTTCCCACAAACGAGCCAAAACATCTTTTACTTCATTTAGGATCTGGCAGGCACTATGGAAAGAGTTTGTTCCAGTTGACAACATTTCTATCTTCCTTTAACATCGTAATGCACTGAAATCCACTTTCAGGCCTCCTATTGGCACTTCCAGTCTCTCAGAATTGGGCTAAATCCTGGGAGACAATGCTCTGAGAAACACCAACTGCCTCTGCGATATCCTCTTGCCTGTGACCTTGATGACTGACTCTCACAAAAATATTGCCAACTTCTTGTTCAATATGATGTATGGTTAAAGAGAATACAGCTGGATTGAAAGGGTGTGAAAAGGCGAGAAAAGGTGTTTGTTTACAAAATGAGTAATCTTCATGTTTTCTATTTTTAATTAAATCCATTAATAAAAATGAGGATTAACAAATTTTTTGTTTTTGGTTTGTATTTTCTATTTTGTTTTATCCAACTAATAAGAATGTATCGGTTAATTTAATTAAAATTAATAGAAATATCCTTATTCATTTTTGTGCAGTTTGTATAAAACAGTTCCGTGACTGACTAAGACTACACACAGACCAAACCACTGGATCTAAGGAGCTGAAATTTTGACAGTACATTCCCATAATGATGTGGATAGCCAGCCACTAAGAAAGAATTTTTTGAAATTCCATCCCTAAGGGGATTGATTGTATGGACAATTTTTTACCAAGTATAGACCGAAGTGAACTGAGGAAGAGAAGAATTTGAGAAACGAGAATCGTCAAGGACTGTAACAGTATTACTGTTACAGCAATATTGTTGGGACTCTTGACAGGGCACTGCCACTTAAGAAAGTACATTCACCGGATAGGAGTACAGACAGAAGAAACACTGTGCAGATACTGCCAGGAAGAGGAGATCACATAACACGTTTTATGTTTCTATGAAGGTCTATGTAGGTTTAGATTCTTGCAACTAAGACAAGAAAAACACAATCAAGAGGAGCCGCTGGCAAGGTTATGGAGGTTGATTAACAACCTGTAGCTGGCCAGTGAGTTATAAAAAACAGGAGAGCACAATAGATCTACTCAGGTTGAGATGCAGAAAGCCTTGTGGCCACCTCTTTTAACCCTATCCTTACAGCAATACTGTTACAGTCTTTGGCAATGTTGGAACTGAGAGGAAATTTGAGATCACCTGTAAAAAGTTAAATGTATCAATCTGTAGACATATTTAAGATTGTTTTTCCCTCATGATGAACTTAAAACAGATTGAAAGCTTAGCAGTAACAGTGTTCATGATTAAGATTAAGATTAGTTGTTGGTCTATTTACGACCTACAAGATCAGTGTCGGTCTGTTGTGCATCTCCATCTTCATTAAGCTTAATTAGGTTTCAAATTTTAGGGGTTTTAGGTTTAATTAGTAAAGCTAGTATTAAGATTATTATTACTCGTACTGTTATGTCCCAATATGTATAATTGATGTGTGTTTCTTAGTGACCTGTTGTTTGATAATTTGTTGAAATTGTGAGGAGGAGGGATCAAGAATGAGGTAGTTTAGAAAAACACCTTTTTCATTTTTTTGTCGACGTCTCGACCTTTATTCAGATCATCTTCATAGCCTAGGTACATTACAATACATATGTGGGTTGGAAAAAATACAATTTAAGATTTAAATATAAATTTTGAACCAAGTATTTCATACTCACATAAAGTGTGGTGCTATTCTATCTGTTAAAACTTAAGGCCCACTGTTTGTCGGCGTACACATAAATTTTGGTCCTCCGGGTCGGATCGTTGAGTAATGGATTTAATATTTTAGTAAGGATTTTTTTTAAAATTTTATTTTGTAGGATTTAAATTTTGGATTCCAGGAATTGAATGACGTAGTTTTGAAGGGTGTTGTCAGTAGGGTGGAATGATACAACAAGGGTTGAAAAAGAGAGAAGAAGGATGTCGTTCATTCGAAGATCAGTAATCAGTGAGCCGTTCGTTCTCGAACGTCACGTCCCTAGCGGGCTCGTTCGCAGTCTGCGTCGAGTTCGTCTGCCGTTCGCCCGTCTTCTTTGTATCTCATTCGCCATCCGTTCGTCGGCCTTTATCTACCAGTTCGGAAAGTGATTCACATTCTCAGTCGTTCCGTTTCTTTTTCCATCTTCGTCCGAAAGGATCTCGCACCGAGTCGGTCAGCGTACATTTACGAATTCGACATTATTATTGTCTGAATGGGGGCGGAACTCTGCCCAGAGACACCCAGCAATGTCTTCTCAGTGATTTAAATCATCCTGTCCGGGCCCTATTTGTTTTCTTCAGCACTTTCAACGTAAAAAAAAGAAAAAAAAAATTCGACGCGAGGTTTATCTTTAAGACACAATGGTTGACAGATTGGGTAAGTCGGATATTTTATTCTCGTGCTTTTATTTTGCATTTGGGTACAAGGTGGTTTCTTATTTTTTATTTTATAATGAATTTTTTATATTTAGCTCTGTTTATTTTGTGTGCCGTTCTTAAACTTATTACGCACGTCTGTTTCGTTTCTATTTCCACGAGCTCGTGATGTCAATTTATTAGTCATACAGCGCAGTCTTATTAGTCCTCCATTCATTTTTCTTTTATATTTTTAACCTAACTCTTCTCCAAGGCCTTTAAGTATTTTAGATGGGAATTACTTTGGTTTAAAAAAATATATATTGAATAAGTTTTTGAAGAAGTTTACACGGAAACGTTCGTCGAGAGTTTGCCCCTCATACCCGTTCGGGCGAGAAGAACTCGAAACATTCCTCGCCTATAAAAGTATTTTCCTTTTTTTACAACTTTCTACGTTTCTTTAAAATTAAATCTCAAAACAAACTAAATTCTCTAAACACAACCTCTAGATATCCTACTTTTTTTTTTGTCAACCTTCAAGTTTGGCACAGATTTATTGTGGTATAATATTGCATGTGCGTAAATGATAAGTGTTGTGTAATATTTGATAAAAGCCTATTTGTTGTTGTTATTTCACGAGGTGCAACAACTGTTATAATTATAGTAAATACAATAACAGCACTTGTTGGGTTCTGTAAATATTTAGAATCAGTGGCGGTAAAAATTACTCATAGACTGGGCCCAAAGTCCCAAATTAAAAGCATTTTTACGTCGGAAATCTTCCGAGAGATCCAATCGTCACATAAATGATCAAGACGATCTCTTTGGTTTGGCCGATTTAAACAGTTTTATCTTCTCAAATGCATTGCTGATTGTCAGAACAAAACCAAACCTTAAAAACGAAAAAGCCGCTCTTTTTTATATTTATTTTAACCTTTTACACGACCTAATTTATCGTAATAATCGTACTGAAAAGCAGTTTTATATCTAACCTCCGTATCGTAAAGATCTTGACGTAGGTCATAAAGAAATTTCTAAAATTGAGCTTACTGCGCTTTTTCCGTTGACGCCGTTGAAAACTAAACCTTGTTCTTTATGTCATCCTAAAAAGAAAAAAATTAATAAGTACACAACTGCCTGGCTGTTTTTACTTCTTTTAATCACCAACTGGACATAGATTCAGGTTGTGCAGCCAGTAGGTTCTGGAGGACATTCAGGCAAATATAAAGGCAATGTGTATGCCATGAATGTGTGCGGCAATGTGTGCTTTTAGCTTAAAAACTAGTTTGGGTGTGCTTAAATTTCCTAATAAACCTAGGAGAACAAAGGCTACCAGGACATAGAAGGAATGATACAGGCTGACCAACTCGCCAAAGAAGGGATGGACTTCAAATAGACAAGTTCATATCTTAGGATAGTTCCATAATCAAATATGCAAATTGATATGGTGGGAAAATAGAACGAAAAAGGCAGGGAAGCTACTACAAAAGTAAAAAGAAATAAACAGCATCATCACAGCTACAATGTAATGTATCAGGCTACCATCCTTACTATATATAATAAAAGGTCGGCAATGATTGAGGAATTGAATCATCAGTCAGTGGAAAGAAGGGATCAAACACTGGCCATAATAAAATTTCGACTTAAAAATAAATGAAATGTCTAATACTATCTCGGTTGCATCAGAGGAACCAAAATTTGGAAAATCATGCGATATAATTAAAAAGAGAGCACAATGGATAGTTAAAACAAAATAAAAACCTGGAGCTCTTTTATACAGATGGCTTGAAGATGGGAAATGGTCCAGGAATGAGGAGAAATCATCTTTCAAGCCGAATTGCTAGAAACCATGTACACAAAATAAATAAACATCTCAAGGGTGCAAAAATAATAATAGTATCTGATAGCCAGACAGCTCTAAAGTCTCTCTGAGCTGAGATCAACTGAAGACTAGTCTTGAATTGCATGAATACCCAAAAAATAAGCTGGAATCTACAAATACCCTAAATCTATCCATGAAAGTAGAAAATGAACAGGCTGACCAACTAGCCAAAAAAAGGGGCAGCTATCTCCTCGATGGGACCAATACCACAACTAGGTATACAAGAAAATATGCTAAAATTGGCACTGGACAAAAGGCTTGAAAAAACACAAGCACTGGCCAAAGCACCAGGAATGAGGCATATAAATTTCTAAAAAAGGAAGGCAAAGGAACTCCTCTCTTTCAGCAGGAAGGATTTGAGGAAAATTTTTAGGCCTTTATACCAGCCACTGCCTCCTAACTACCACCAAAGAAGATGGGCAAAGGAGAGACAGACATGCCAACTGTGTCAGGAGGAACCAGAGACATCGACACATCCTTTTTTTCATGTGAGTCATTAGTCTGTACATGGTATAGCCAAGGTACAAGGTAAGGCAAGAGAAGTGTGCAATAAGGCACCGAGGAGAATGGTTAGCTTCCAGGACACGAAGGTATAGAAGGATATGAACTGACTGACCTACTCGCCAAAGAAAGGTCCTCCTTCTCGCCCAACCACAACTAGGCATACAAAAAAGTGAGCCAAGGATGAAGCTGGAAAAATGGCTTGAGAGGGAAAAACTCCAGGACAAAGACAAGTATGAGACAAGCTAAGAGATTTATAAATCCCTAAAAAAGGAACCCCTTGGACTGTAAACTATATTCCAAGTCAAGGTCCATGAAATTCTCTCATCCACAGGAGTTAAGGAGAAAATTAAAAGGCACATATATACTTTCAGACAGTCAGGCAGCTATAAAGGAATTTAAATGTGTTTGCTTTTCACTTCCATCTAGTGTGGGAGTGCCTACTTTTCTTAATAGACATAAGAAAACAAAACAATCTTGAGGTTGGTAATGGAGAAGGTAAAGGAAAACAGGCAGACGAATTAGCTAAAGAAAGACCCTCTGCCCCATGGGACCAGCACTGCAACTAGATGTACAAGAAATTGAATGTGTGATAAAAATAAACTGGATAGCTTTTCACATAAATAAACAAGACTGCAAAAGAAGTATCTCACTCTTTGAGAAAATTTTTAAATTATGAAGCCGTTACTTATCACACCAGGAGCATGAATCAGGTTTGAAACACCTTTACCAGTTAATGACCCAAAGCTCTTAGAGCACATGGATTGGATTACAACAAGCCTAAATACCTGCTTTGCCAGGTTGCAACCTATCCTTAAAAAAATAGACCCTATTGAATAAATAAATAGAATAGTGTAGGAAGCAAAATCTTGATGGTTCTTGCAAAGTTTGAGATAAAATCTTGCTTGTGTAACTTGGACAAGTTGGTCTGTGTATTACTCCTGGAACAGGAATCCTTTGACTCAAAAAAATTAAATTTTTCTTCAAACTTTCATTATTCATTGTTGCTGTTAGATGCTCAATTCTTATAAACTTCCTCTACAGCTATGATCACCTAAACATCATCAGCTGAAGACATAATTGAAATTGTCGATTATAAAAGTATTTTGTTGGAAATTAAAATAGTTAGAAGATAAGATGGGCATTTATTTATTTATAAGCCTTGCCCTTTTCACAAATTTATTTCTTTAAACCTAACTAGATGTTTCTACAGTGCATTAATAAAATTATGTCTTTATTGTGACTTTTGACCTTAACGTGTATTGTAAAATCTCAAATTTTTGGCTTTTATTTAAATCTGAAGGTATATTTGTTGCAGTTAAAGCTTGTAAATCAATTCTGCCATTTTTCTTTTTTTGTTTTATATCAAAATGAAATAATTTCACACACAGCATTATTGGACGAAGAAAAAAATTGCTTAGAATGGCAAGCCAGCAATAGCTTAGTTGGAAATTTGTTTAGATATTTGCATACCGTCAAAGCTATTTTTGTATTAAAGGTTTCGAGATTGTTAGGTGATTATTCTTAACGAAAGGTTGTTAAAAATTCCGTAACGGAATGACATTTTTTATGCAAACGCATATATTATTATATTTTTTGTATACACATATGTACATATATTATTATATTTTTTGTTTTTGTTTGCAGTAAATAGTGAGGCTAATTCTCGAAGGATTGCAATAGTGGAAGGATGTTTTGGAAGTGCAGGAGAGGTAATTTTATTTTTGAATTCACTACCATTAAAATATATTTTTTTTTGTACCAAACATTTGAAAACGTTTATACATATAAATATTATTTTATTATGTGCATTGAAACTGTCAAGTTAACGCCACTGATAACAACAAATAGAGTTTCTACTGTTAAGAAAGGATATCAGGGATAACAGGTGGATTTTATCACGCTGAGTCAATAGGATGTGTTTTGATAAATAACAGTTTTTTGTACTACCGCATAGTAATCTCTGATAAAAAAACATATTTTACTAGTCCAAATACACAACTAAAACAGTGGGTAAAAGAAGCCAGCTATTTTGCAGACATAAAGTAATAATTATGGAGCAAGATGCAAAAGTTGAACATAAAATGTCGTAATTGAAAGTGGCGGCCATACTGCTGAAAGGACTTGAGCCCTTCTGTGGCAAGGGATTCACCCTATCAATGAGTGCCTTAGACAAAATACAAAATTAAAATGAGGAAACAGTGGAATTTACTCATCGGACCCAACAATCCAAGAACCTTGTAGCAAATTTTAGAAGGAAAGAAACAACAGAATACATCAAATGGGGTAGGAAAAAATTTCAAATCCTAACAGGATTCTTAACAGGACACTACAGACTGAATGAGCATCTGAATAAGATAGGTAGAGTGGTATAATCCAACAAGGCAGAAGATTCTGCAAAGAAGCAGAGGAGACACCAATACACTTACTAACAAACTATGGTGCCATATTTACCCGCAGGAGGAAGTGTTTTGGGATGCACAATGTAACCATAGAGGAAATTCAAACACTAAAACAGGAGGGATGTGTTATTGAGGTATACAATAGCTTTCAAAGGGCACAGTATATTATAAACCTTGGATGTTTCTTCTACATCTAGCACTGGCACTCCAGGCAGCAGCAGGAACAGTGCCAGTCAATTTAGACATGAGAGCAAAGTAACACTACACCAAAAAAAAGGGAGCCTGGACATTAAACATGATAGTTAAGTAGTGCAAGAGGAAACACGACACGGAGAGAAGCGAAAGTTTTCTATATATCAAAAATTGTTGAGTGGATGACAAATTTCATTGCAAAATAGTTCAAAAGGTAGCTTAACTTTTGAATACTTTCCAAATTTAGAGCAGAGCCTTTACTTTTGAATCTATCAGATAAATTGTGCAAAAAAATAATAACTAACCCTTCCTTTATTAACTCTTAAATTTTAATAAATTGGCTGTGACCTGTCGGTATGGAGTCACCCTCAGGAACTAGAGTAGGATGAGCAAAAAAAAAAAGTTGATTGCTGATGGCAAGGCCACTTCTCTAAACACATACTGTGGCTCAACTAAATTTTCTTACATTTTGCCCAAAAGGGTCTAATATTTGTTGAAATCAACATAAGACCTTAAACTTCCTGAGTGGAATTTTGAGTCCCACATCCTGCTTACAAGTTCACCTTAATTACCACTTTTTTCTAGACGGTGGAATATTTTCTCCATAACTAAGGTATATCAACGGTCCATTTTTGCTTCTAAGCTACCCTCTATGTGCAAAAGATACATTGGGTACTGGCTCAAAGATGATATGGAAAATAGTCACCTATAAATCCGAGAGTAATTTTTCTTGTGATTTATGTTGATTCAAAATTTCGAGGAAAACAAACAGAACTTTGACACACCCTGTAATTTTTCACTATTTGGTTAAAATTAACTTTTTTGTTTAACTAAATAGCATGATTTAGTTTTTGACAGACTTGTCTTTTAATTTTTAATTAAAAAAAAACAAAAAAAAACTAGTACATGAAATAATTAATATTTTAACACGGCTTGGATTAAATCATATTCGGATACTAATATATTAATGTATTGAAAACTCACTTTATTTGATTAGCTCAAATTGGCTCGCTGCATACTTCGTACTGTCTTAAGAGATTATCAGACCTTAAGCTAGGTTTCCACTGCATGACAATCACTCATGCAACTGTTTTCTGAAACTTGTCTCGCGTTGTGGATACTTGCTGGGGCTGCAAAACTTTTGGCACGAGGAACTTTAGGCGTGAGCCGACCAGCTATTACTTATTTAGAGCGCATCAAAGCATTTTGCATGTGGTTTGTTTTTTTCTGTGTAAACGCACTTGTCTCAAGTATGAGAATGAACCCGTACAGTGATATGCTATACAGAAGGCTCCAAAACAAACGAAGGAACCAGATCGGTTGTTTTTTGTACAAGCCCAAGATATGAACAATCAAAATCATTAGGGAAGTACACTTTGGTCTTTTGAGCAAAATACATCAATGCTTGTGCTGTAGAAAATCTTAATAGAGATTACACTGGCGAAAAAATCCTCAAAAGATCGGATAGCCAAACAGCTATTAAAGCATTAGCGTGTAAAAAAAATCACATTAAAACTAGTCAGTGAATGCATCTAAAATCTCCAAAACCTGGGGAAACACAACAAGTTGATATCTTGGATGCCAGGACACAAAGGAATTTTGGATAATGAAAAAGCAGACATACTGGCTAGACCATATATATGCCCTGAACCTATACTTGGTGTAACAAAAACAAATACAGAATCCTCTTTCGTATGAATGGATTGAAATAAAATAAAAGAAGTGGGTAAACTCTAGCTGTGCTAAACACAGTAAACTTGTGTTAAAACAACTCTCACCAAGACTGGCAAACTCACTGCTGCAGTTGGAGACGGCTAGACCTAGAGGAGTGATAAGACTTTTTAGCTTGTCACTGGCATCTGAGAAAACATCTACACAATGGGCATATATAACGATGATCCCATCTGTAGATTATGTAATGAGGAGGAGAAAACGGCAACCCATATCTTCAAATGAGAAGCAATGGAGATTTAACCTAGCATAACGGAAAAAAACGTAGGGAATGAAATTATAGCAGCAACAGTCAATGACCTAACACTTCTGAGAAGGATTGAGTCAATTCACTGAACTAGGGAAGTAGGAAGGTACAATAAGCCAGAAGGCTGCAGTACGTGGGGAGCACAAACCTAGTATCCTCATCATCATCACCATCATCATCATCATCATGAGGATGAACCAGAAAGACTGCATTCGATTTACCTGAATGTATCACAGCTACCAATTTTTGTGGAATACTAAAGATAAAACTCATCTTAACAAGAGAGAGGCTGTGTGGAATGAAATGAACATCAATATGGGACAAAGACAAAAGTACAACAAAAAGGATCGCCATGATCGCAAACTCTGTTTCAGCAGTATGTATAGTGATAAATGTCATTTTATCCCGCGCAAACTGATGTTTCACCTTGTTTTGCCTCATGGAAATGTTTAACTCGAGATTGCATTTCACGAGTGATTTTTTTCACATAACAGAAATCCAGCTTTACAGTTTTACAGCTTTACAGGACACTAAGCGATTCAGATATTTAGTTGTAAATAGAATGTTCTGAATGACATGTACTCAAAATAATTTCAAACAATGTCACTGTCCTTGTTCTTGGAGGTTCTGAAGTCACAATATTCAAGAAGATGGCACATTATAGATGATTAATTTTGAATTAAGTATTTAATTATTTTGTTTTAGCCTTTAGCTGTTAAAGGAAGAGTTTTAGTTGGAGAGGGGGTCTTAACAAAAATGTGCCGGAAGAAACCTAAACCAAGGCAGTTTTTCTTATTCAACGATATTTTAGTTTATGGCAATATAATTATTAACAAAAAGAAAGTAAGCGTTTATGCAAGCAATGTTGTTAATGCAATTAAAAAGAGTTTACATTTTTTGTTTTTGTTTTAGTACAATAAACAACATGTGATACCTTTAGAGGAAGTAAAATTAGAATCGTTAGAGGATGAAGGCCGTAAGTTGTACTTAATTTGAAAGTGCTTTATTTATCTAATTTTTGTACTATGAACATAAATTTTTATCTCTCTTATTGTGCGTAATTATAGAATTACGAAATGGGTGGTTGATTCGTACTGCATCTAAATCCTTTGCTGTTTTTGCTGCCACTTCAACAGAAAAGCAGGAGTGGATGGCACACATTAATAAGTGCATTGAAGATCTACTAAGGAAGAGTATGTATATGGAATATTTCGAATTCTTTTTTAGCTTTATAAATTCAAATTTTAAATATCTTACATTATTAGGTGGTAAAAAGGCTGCCGAGGAACATGCAGCTGTTTGGGTTCCTGATTCTGAAGCAAATGTCTGTATGCACTGTAAAAGAAATCAGTTCACAGTTTTGCATAGAAGGGTAAGCCAAATTTTTTGTTGTGCTTTTCTAAAATTAAGATTAGAATTATTTGTTATTAATTGGTCTGTGAGATGTCGCACAAATTGCTTAATATAAAATTAGATTTTGTTTTTAATTCTTATGTTTAATTGAAATGTTTTTACAAAATAAATATTGAATCAATTGTTTGTCGGTTTTTAGCATCATTGCCGGAAGTGTGGTGTCGTCGTTTGTGGACCTTGCTCAAACAAAAAATTTCTACTCCCAAGCCAATCATCAAAACCTCTAAGAGTCTGTTTACAATGCTACGATGCATTATCTAAAGCAAAGACACAAAACAACAAATATAATTTATCAAGCAAATTAGGTAGGTAGAGAAAAAAAAAATTAAATTTTGATCACACATTATATTGTTTTGTTGATGTTATCACTTTAGAATCCCAAGAAAGGGGAGCTGGTTCAATAGAATCTTCATGTGAAGATGATTCTGATGATGATGATGACAATTTGAACAAATCAGAACCGTCTCCAGACTATGTGGTGAGTAAAAAGTTAATTATATTTTCTTATAACCATGTCATACATTTAAACAACAAAAAAAGGCTACAAAATAAATTATTTTTAAAAGTGACATGAGTCGTAAAAATATGTTGACATATTCCAAAAATACTTGGTGTTATTTTTATTTGTATGTAAATTGTTTTTAAGTTAGTCATTAATGGTACTGTAGTTGATAGCAATATCAATGTACATTACAAGTAATGTATACTTTTAGCAGTGAACTTAGGTCATGAAAACTTTAATATATAACTTAAAATTATTTTTAAATTTTATTGCCATCTCAAGAAAGTAATTTGGACGTTTATATTTCTGTTACTGTTGAACACGAGTTTTGATTTTCTGATAGCTGCACACTTCAACATGGCCGGCTTATACCATTTTCCTTCGTATTTCATCATTTTCATTCTGGTACAACAAAACTAATCTTCATTATTATGTTCTGCCTTGCCAACAGTAATAATACTGTGAAATTAATTAATTTTGCAATTAAAAAAAGTATATGAAGATAAGAATAAGGATTAAAGGTTCCAAACATTGAGAAAAAAAATTGAACATTACTTTATAACAATTAACTACAAAGATAGACGGGATGAATACAAATAATGTACGGCACACATAATTACAAAGCTTGGTTGGTCAATCACAGCAAACCAAGTAGTTTATCTGGAACTTGGTAGCGTTATTGAAATGCCAGGACTCTTGTTAGTTTTAATTGGGTTAAAGCCTAGGTAGGAATCGAAGAAAACAAAAGAGCCAATTCAGATGTCAGCTGGAGCTTAACCAGAAGTGTATCTAAAGTATCCTGTATCCATTCCACACTATTGGTATGGTGCAAAAATAATGCAGATTTTGAAGCAGTCAAAAATATTTTTAATTTAAAATAAAGAAAGTTTATTCAAAATATTTTCTATACATCTTTGCCAACATGTAATAAGTGCTTTTATGCCGTGGAGTGGAAGTCTGTAGGCTAGAGGTCAGGTGAATATGGAGGGCGAAGGTTTCATATCCTAAGTCCTTACATTTCTACAGGGTTGACGGTGTTATTGCGAAGAATCTAGTTTATCAATGCTGGAAAAAGATGTTGTTTCCTGTGCATTTTGTAAATTTCTTGTATTGCCAGAAGATATTGATTTCTCTGCTGTGGTAGTTTTACCATAATTCAGGAAATTATAGTGAACAACCCCTGCAGTACACCACCAAACAGTCTCACCATAACCTTTTTAGGGTGCAGGTTTAGATTCAGGAAGTATTTTGGCGCTTTATCCCTGTCCAACCACTGACCTGTATGCCTCCTGTCTGTTCTCATCGCACGTGATGATTCCATCGAGAAATGGATTATTTTGGTGGTGCAACAGAAGAGATGTGCAAATTTCAAAGTGTCGATTTCTTTGGCTTTCGGTTAGTTTGTGTGGTACCCACCTGTTGAGCTTATTTACTGTACCAATTTACTCCAGATGGTGAAGAATGGTTGAGAGGTCATCACTAAGCTCTTCTGCAATTTCCCTTCTTGTCTTGTGAATTTTCTTCACTCAACATTTTGAGTTGTTTGACGTCCACAACGGAAGGCCTACCGTGACCTTCCCTGCCTTCTAGATCAAAATCTCCAATCTCTGAAACCATCGCTGCACCGTGCAGTCCCCCTTCCCTCCCCCCAAACTGTATTCATGTTACGTGCAGTTTGGGCCGCACTTCGCCAGTCCTCACTCTTATAAAATTCAATATAACTGAAATGTTTTGTATAAAAGATATATTTATTATAATTCATAAATTAGATTTGAGGATTTAGCTTTGTTTACATGACAAGCACCTGCGAAAATAAAACAAATTTTCAAAACCTGCATTAATTTTGCACCAACCCAATATTTAATGCCTATTGTCTAAGATATAAAGTAAAGAAAAGGATGAAGCAAGCATAGAAAAAGTGTCACAATTTGGCAAAAGTTGAGAGAGAAGATTGTGAACAGGGGGGAGAAATGAGTGGTTTTTTAATGATGACAAAAAGGGAAGGGTGTGGGAGGTCTCCATTTACTACCGAGGTACACAAAAACCTTTTATGACATATCGAAAAGATATCGAACCGAAAAGGTTAAAGCTACATCAATTTGAAATAATTTCCCTGCTTCATAGAAAAATATTGAATCCCTGATATTTAGTTTATCCCTAATCATATCCTATTTAACCTAAACCAACCCATATGCACTCCTCATGTGAAATTGATGGCTCAAAATAAAAATCATGTATCTAGCCCAAAACATTATATCCATGTTAATTTGTATTTTGAGACATGTTCATTACTTTTTTTTGACATGATTAACAAAATTAAAACATCGATGGCTTGTTCTGTCAAATTAACCCTTTTTAACTCCAAATTAATCTTTCTAATTTCAAATTAAAGTTTCTTGAAAGCATTACAAGAACAAGGAGATATGAGGCTGAAATAATGTAAGCATGTAAAGTAATTCCTGTATATTTGTGAACTTTTAAAAAACAGAATAATTTGGCTCTTAGATCAGAATTACTATTAAAATTTGTATAAAATTAAATATAAGAATTTAATAAGAAAGGGGTTCTTTTTTTAGTTTGAGATAAGGTGGTATAAAATGTAATATAATAACACCTGTTTCTTCTGTTAATTCGAGATTTTTTTAAACATATAATTATCATCAACATATCAACAAATAATTGGTCTATAAAATAAATGTTGTATATTTTAAAAAATTTCGAATTCGTTAACTTACTAAATTCACTAGTTTTCATGGTCTGCTTGTCCAAATAATATCTTTCATTTAATTGAAAATTAATTGGTGAGGTTGAGATGGGAAGTTAGTGTTCGAGTGGATTGAAGTCACAATAGCTCAAGTGGTAGAGCAGCGATGTATTTAGTCGAAGGTCGTGGGTTCGAATCCCGCTCGTGCCATTGACTTTTTTATCTCAACCAATACCTTAAATACTGATTAATTAATTGAAAGATATTATTTGGTCAAGCGGACCACAAAAACTAATGAATGTAATTTTAAATTTGGTGTTTTAGATACAAATTTTAGAAACCAATTTATATTTAAAAAACTCAAATGAAAAGAAGAATATTTTAATTGTTGTTGAATGTTTTAATTTTATAACATCTATATAATTTTAATTGTAATTAATTTTATATTTTTGTACCCAATATTATTTCATATTCTTCTGTTTCTTCTTTTCTTCTTATAAGTTCTTTTTATGCTTTAAAGAGAGGGTTAATTTTAAACTAAAAAAGGGTTAATTGAAGTTATTTTTCTTTATCGGGTGTGTGGACAAAGAAAAAGTATCATACTGATTGGATGATAATTTGAAGTTAAACAGGGTGAAATTGAAATTGCAAAAAGGTTAATGTGAAGTAAAAAAAAGGTTATTTTGAAATGGAAAAAAATCTATATAGTTTCATAGTAAAATTAGATTAATTATCTCTTACTTATGTTATTAATTATCTAGTACTTATATGTTTTTGTATGATTGAAAATGTTTTGTTTGTTTTTGTAGAGATATCTACTTAATCAGCGTAGTTTTTCCAAATACGTATAAAATTACAAATATTACTTGGTGAAGCAAAGGTCATCATATTTTTATCGGAGGTAGCAAACAATTTGCCTTAGACTATTGTTCTTATTGTGAGGTTCTTATTAAGGTGTCTGCAGTTACTAGATTGTTACTAACATGCTGTTTACAATGGTGGCTTTCTTATTAAGGCTAAAGTGGTTTTTGGAGGATAGAAAAGGGTAAAGTTTATATATTTAATGTAATGTATTGTTGACTTTCTTATACTACAACTTCACTGATCCTTCGTAAAAGAGATACTAGAAAGTTGATTAAAAGTTAAATCTCATGATTTATTAGCTTATAATTTTTTCATTGTAATCAGCAATAGCTTATTTATGCCTTGTTGCCTCTGGATGTTTTTTATAGGTTCTTTATATTTCTCTTCATGCAAAGAAACAAAAATGCACATAATTATTCGGAAATCGTGAGATGCGATCTGGTGTGACGTAGGTTTCAGAAAAACATTTTCTTTATCGTGCCAACATTTCGATCTTTATTGAGATCATCTTCAGGGCCTGGGATTTACAAACATTNAATTGTTGAAAAATTAGACTATGTAAAAATGTTTGATGTGTGGAGTATGATGAATGTTTTATATGTTATATGTTTTGTATGATGTGATGATATATGTATGTTATTGATATTGAATTTGATTATGATATTGGCATAGCTGCGACTGTCTTTACATGTCTGTTCTGTAATTGATGCTTTATCTCTGTGTAAACCATTTCTAAAAAATTACGTTCATGTGTTTTGTTCTTTATGTAAAACATTAAAAAACGTTGGGACGATAAAGAAAATGTTTTTCTGAAACTTACATCACACCAGACCGCATCTCACGATTTCCGAATAATCATCGTCTAACGTTCTCTAATCACCACACAATGCACATAATGTTATATTTTTTCATTCTTTTTTAAATTATAAATGTACAGTAACACCCCTGTTAACAGACACCCCTCTATAGCAACTACCTCTTTTAACGGACAATTTTTGCACAAAATAAGATAGGATTTCAAAGTGCTGTAAAAGAGATACTAGAAAGTTCATTAAAAGTTAAATCTCTTGATTTATTAGCTTATAACTTTTTAAAAGTGCTGTCAGTCCTCATCAGAGTAACAATTGTTATTTTCATTTTTTTAAATTTATTTTTTATTTTGGATGGTAGCCTAGATATGGCACATAATATATTTACTGACAAATAATAAAAACTGTTGTGTTTAAATTTTGTGTATTGACACAGCTGTTATAAGATTTTATTTATTTTTTATTAGGACAAAACATCAACAAGACATACTAACACATGAATGCGGAAATAAATACATAGGACAGACAGAATAAAAAATAAAATATACAAGGAACATATAAAATCGTTTAGGGACGACAGAAAATTGAATTAAGTGACTCGCCTAATAGAAAACAACCTCTACTCAAAGTTGGTTGGTTTCTTGTGAAAATTATGATTGCCAACCGATTTTTTGGTCTATTATTGGCCAAATTTTGGCCCTCAAGCCTCAACTGTACTTTGTGTACCTTGATTCATGTGACTTATTTAAAATTAAAAGAACTATGGATGCTTGAGTTGTATAAAGATAAAATAGTTAAAAATAGCCATGGTGAATGATCTGAGGAATGCATGAGATCATTGTTTTAAATCCCTCCTAACGGACAAAAACGCATCTTTATTGACAAACACATATTCGTTATAGAGGGGTTTCATTGTATAACAATATCACAGTTTTAACAATTACATAACATAGCCAACACAGACCACATTGCATCATAATCAATGAAGTTCTACTGAGATGTGATTATTGCTAGTTGAGTACTATAACCACAGACCACATTGCTTCATACTCTCAATCTGTTCACCCAACTTTTTCCGTCTCTTATCCAAGAAACTGTATTCTAATTGTTATTGCAGTAATTTTGAAAAACTAAACGTCTGATTTCGATTTCAGCCCAAATTTTATGGAACCACTGGAGAAGTTGGAGATGATCTGGGGACAAAATGAGCCGAGCCGATTTATTGGCATTACCACAGAGAAAGGGCAGTAAAAACAATCACCAAAATAATTCTAATTAAATTAATACATTTAAATTATTTAAATTGAACAGTATGTGATATAATGAACTTGAATATAATGTTCTTTTTTTTTCAAGAAAAATAAATGTATTCAATTTTATGAAATTAAAATTTAAACTTTGGAGAGCATTTATTGAAATTTGAAAATTTTAATGATTTATAGTGCCAAAATGTAATTGAGCAGGTGCAAATATAATAGTTGCTCTGAATTAGTTTTTTATCTCACAGTATTAACCAGGTTTTTTAGATTTGAATAAATGTATATTTTATTAGCTATAGACACTTCTGCTCTTAAAATGTATTATATTATTTTTATATTATAGATGTAGGGTGAATCAACAACCACTTTTGCACCAGTTCTCGAATGCTTAATAGTAGGGGAAAAGATAAAATTATTGCTTAATTAATATAATTGAGATGTCTTCCTTGCAAATTAGGCCAAGTATTCTTTATGCGATGGGAAATTTGAACCTTAAAATGCCTTTAAAATCAAACTAATCAAGGTATATTTTACAATTTAAACTAGTTTGTTCTTAGTTCGGACAAGTTAAAACATATTTTATGTAAACAGCATAATTCATTGTTTTTGTACTTAGTTTTGAAGATAAAAGATAATTTTTCATCCAAGCTTAACTGTCAATTAGTAAATTTAAGTTACCATAATAATAATGGCCCCCCCCACATGAATTTGCTCTTGCTGTAATAACCACAAGATAAATTTCACAATCCAGTTCATTAACATAGACATTTTTTGCTCATTTAATGAACTTAGTGTAATATGAGACATTGTATGCAATTTTCATAAAATATACGATTTATTATCAATTATACATAACATTTCGTGATAAGGAAATATTAAATAGCATTGTACCATATCAGTAATTTAAGTCGTTTTAGTACTGTTAATTAAGTATGTTATATCATTAACAGACCAACCATGTACAGGATTATATAATTTTTAGACATTTATGTTAACTTAATTTATTATTATTATTTTTTTTTTAAATTCCTGTTTTGTTATAATTTGGTTTATGTTATGATTAGAGAAATACAGCTAAGTAATTTCATTACCAATTTGAACAATGGAAATTTAATCCTTCTATTAATTAATTTGAAAAATGAGAAAAAGGTCAAAAATACCAGTGCAATATTGTGACAGTGATATAAATGTGTTTTATTTCAAAATTTGAGTACATTATGTAAACAATTAATGAAAGTACTCGTTATATCACAGGAATTTTTACTTAATGTTGAAAATTATAGTTGGATAAGGTTATTATCAGTTATAAATTGTAAATCTTAAAGCCGATCCTTTTCTTCTTCTTCAATGGTCTTACACAATTTAGTCAGATCGTCGCTAATAACAACTCTGACTCACTACTGCCATGCATTTATTTTTATTAAACACGATAATTGCACCTATTATTTTGCTCTCATTTTTATATCATAATATTGTTCATTATCTATAATTAATTTGTATAAGTGGTTTTATTTTTTTTTTAAACATAATTTGGTACAATGGGGATGCAATTTCTTAGAAAAAAATCCATAATAATAATAGATTTTCAAAATATTAGTTCTTACAGACACTTTTTATAATTGTAGGTGAAAATGTCAAATTGCATTTTTATTGGTAAATTCCAGTGCAGATATTAAAATTTAAGATTGACTATGACAGAGGAATTGTACACAGAATATATTTTCCGCATAATGAAATGTTCATACGTGTCACAAGAATATATTTTTGTATTTCATTTTTTTAAATATATATATAATAATATATTGCTTTTCTCCGAAAGGGTACAGTTGTCTATACCACTGGTATATGCGATTTAATAATTTGTTACTCTTAATTTATAAAAATAAATATGTTTATTATGTGTTTATGATGGTCTAATTATTGAAATAAATGAAATTATTTTTGTACTGGGTCATTGTGTTTTATAACCATCTTTGTCTGCCTATCCTCGCTGATGTTTGTCAGTTAGACTTGTTTCGGCCACGCCATTTTAAGAGTTGAGTTTGGGTGATTTGTTTGGAGGATGTTTTAGTTAGGAGGTGGATGGTAAGGGGTGTTGGTATTATTATTGTTTGTTGATGTGTTTGATTAAATCATTTTATTTATTTATTTTTTTTTTAACGTTCTAGTCAGTCTTTTTGATTTTCGGTCCTTTTTAATTTTTGTAATGTTTTAAATGGTGTAAACGATGTTTTTGAATTATTGTTAATCTGTGTATTTACGAGGGTTTTTAGTGTTCATATATTTTGAGATTTTCAAGTATGTTTATTTTTGTCCTTTTTGTATGTTGTTTAGTTTCATACTTGTTTGTATTGTCGGTTTGTGGTTAATTTCTATTAGGTGAGTTGAATAATTCGATTGTCCATTGTCCCTTAACGATTTGATGCCTTCTCCTGTCTGTCCGATTATTTGTCTTTACATAAGCATGTTAGTGTGCATATTCCGTTATCCCCATTTTTTTCCCTAGTGGACTGGTTTTGTTGATGTTTTGTCTTTTTTATATTGTTATCATCTTCCTATTGTGTTTGGTCAGTGCAGTTTTTATGCCTAATTTATTGCATAAGTTTGTATGTTTCTCATCCAATGTATGTGTATGTGGTTCATTTAATGTCTTTTTGTGGGGTTGTTTTGTTTTTGTGTGCATGTTTTGTTCATTGTGTTTGCATTGTAGCTGTTATTGCGTGCTATGGTTTGTATTCTTTTAATAAATTTGTTTTTGTACTTTTCTTTGATTAGTGAAATTATTTTTAGCCTATCTGTCATGTTCTTCAGTGCTGCCGTTTTGTGTCGGTGTGGGTGGTTTGAGTCAGCTTGTGTGATGTAAGCTATTGTCGGTTTTCAATGTTAAATTTTAGTTTGTCATCTGTTTTTATGATTGTTAAATGTTACTTGTTTCTGAGTTGAATTATGTTTTTGTGCAATGAGTTCAGGTTTGTCAGTATGCTGTTATTGTTGAGCGAGTATGTAAATGTCTGTATATGTGTGTGATGTTATGTTTTGCCATAATTTAGGAGATGTATTTCTCTTCAAAATTTTGTAATAATAGTCATGCGAGTTGGATTACTTGTTCCCAGTCCATCGTTTGGTGTGTATATTTGCCCATTGAATTTAAAGTAGTTTTGTTGTGTCATGATTTGCATTTGTTTGAGAGTTGTTTTGTTACGTTTTTGTGTAGTGTCTTTTGTACTGTTCAAAGTTTCCTTTACTGAAATTGATGGACATAGGTTTGTTACATTACATGATATTAGTTTAATAGTGGTAGTATTGATTTGTACATCTTTTATTTTCTTAATTAGGTCTGTAAGGTTTTTAAAGTGTATGTCGTTTAGTTTGGGTTTTGAGGAATGTTGATAGTTTAGGTGGTTGTGGATTCATGTTTATTTATTTGAAAGTTAGTAAGTGTTTAGAGTAATGTTGAGAGTTTGTACGTGGGGGCTGGTTTGTAGTTTATGACTGGTCTCATGGGTAAGTTTTGTTTGTGTATTTTTGGTAGTGCTGTGAGTTTGGGTGCTTGTGGATTCTTGTTTGGATATTTGAAAGCTTCTTTCGGGTTTATGGTTAATTTCACTAATTTTGTGGTCCGCTTGACCAATTAAATCATTGCAATTAATTAAGGTTTTTAGTTGAGATAAAAATGGCAAAAAGGAGGGAAAACTCATAAGGTAGGGTTGAGATAGGAAGTTGATGTCCGAGTGGATCGAGGTCACGATAGCTCAAGTGGTAGAGCAGCGGCGTATCTAGCCGAAGATCGTGGGTTCGAATCCCGCTCGTGCCATTAGCTTTTTTTCATCTCAACTAAAAACCTTAATTAATTGCAATTATTTATGGTTAATGTTGATTTGATAATTGTGTCTTTGGTGTTTTTTTTAAATTTATTTTATTTTGTTATTTCTTATGGTTTCTGTTTTTAAACAGTCAATTGTTTGTCATACTGTCAGCTTATTGTTGTCTATTTGTGTGATGGAAGTCATTTTTTCTTAGTTTGCTTTTTAGTTAAGAGTATTTTGTTTTGTTTGTGACATTTTATGTATGTGTGTTTTATGTTTTCTCTATTGTCAGCAGCCAATCTCACGAAGCATTCTTAATTTGTTCACTTTCATTTTCATCTAATTTATCTTTATAAAACTTGAGCGTTCAAAATAACTATTTTAATTTTAAAAAAGTAAACAAGTAGTGGAGTACATAAGTTGACTGGAATGTCAAGATCTGCCCATTTTGCCAATAGGTTGACAATCCTAATTTTCACCAGAGTCAACCAAGTTAGAACAGAGGGGTCAGGATTTTGAGTTCCTCCGTGAAAAAGAAGCCTTCAATGAAGGAAAAAAGAGCTGTTAAATCCCTGAACAATTTATTCCTCTGTGAAAGATGTTATATAAGATATGTATGTGAGTTGTTTAGTTACAGTTTGAGTTTTCAAACAATGTGTCGTTTAGTTTGAGGTGTGATTTGAATAATGTTGATCGTTTGGATAGTTCTGCATTCATGTTTATGTATTTGGAAGTTGGTAGGTGCTTGGAGTAATGTTGAGGGTTTGTATGTATTGGCTGGTTTGTCGTTTATGACTGGTCTCATGGGTATCGTTTGTGTATTTTTGGTAGTGCTGTGAGTTTGCGTGGTTATGGGTTCATATTTGTGGTTTTGAAAGTGTCTGTCGGGTTAATGTTGTCAGGACGGCTCAATGTGTATTAATGTGTAGTGATTAGTGACCGTTAATCGATATTTATTTAGAAATCGTGAGATGCGGTCTGGTGTGATGTAGGTTTCAGAAAAACATTTTCTTTATCGTGCCATCGTTTCGACCTTTATTGAGATCATCTTCAGGGCTCAAAGTGTTTGCCTTCTGTGTAATTGTGTCATTCTTGCGTGTCGTGTCTAGAGTGCCAGTGAGATTTTGCTATTTTTCAATAGCAATATTTCAAGGAAAAATATTTTGTGAAACTTTTTTTTTAATTTATTTTTTATTTGCGCCAATTATATTAATGGCCAATAACGTATAACATACATGAATCCATCATGCATTTACGATGGAAAAGTCTCTTGAAAAACATTACGAAGTTTGTGTGGTGATTAGTGACCGTTAGTCGATGATTATTCAGAAATCGTGAGATGCGGTCTGGGGTGACGTAGGTTTCAGAAAAACATTTTCTTTATCGTGCCAACGTTTCCATCTTTATTTATTTATTTTTGTAAAATTTAAAAACATTTTAATTAAATAAATAATAAAGTTGTAGATAAATCAAGTCAAACGTCATGAAAAGGGCTTCTTGCCTGCTTAAATAAATAAATGAGTAAACATGAAAAAAAATTGTATGAACTCAACATGTAAACCACATTTATTTTAATATGAAAGGAATCTTTATAATGAAGTAATTTGTGAAGACCGTATGGTCTCGTCGCAATTCATTCACGAATTTGCGCCATCTCGCCTTGAAAAACGCGCGTATCCCCTCTACAGTGCCGGTTGCATGGATTTCGTCTATGAACTCTGACTATGTAGTGTGTGGGGGTACGAACGGGTACTATGCGCCTCCAATAGCCTCTAATACCCAACTCCGACTTTCCACCTTCACGAAGCTTATGCGGGTGTACCCTGTTATTTTCAGAAAAACATTTTCTTTATCGTGCCAACGTTTCGATCTTTATTGAGATCATCTTCAGGGCTCAAAGTCTTTGTCTTCTGTGTAATTGTGTCATTCTTGCGTGTCGTGTCGAGAGTGGCACTCATCAATGTGTATTGTTGAATTTTTGTCTTATTTTTTTGTTTCTTATTTTATTAATTTTGTTTTAATTCTACATTGTTGTTGTAAGTTCTAAAAAATAACATAAAATTAATCAGCATCAGGAATGAAAAAAGGATAAAATATTAAAATATTTATTTTGGAAATTCGTAAACATTATATATTTCAAAGTTATCCATTTGTTACTGGGTTTTACGCGTAATTAATTAATTAAGCTCTTAAACCTCGGTATAAGCGAGATAAACGCAAAAATCTATAACTTTTTCGATGAAGTTTTACTTGTTTAAAATTCAATATGAAACGAGTAAATTTTTTTGCGAATTCTGGAAAACGCCATTTAAACGCTAATAGAGGATTACAGATTTTATCTTTGTTCAAAAGACGATATCAGGAAAACAAACAAGGTCTTATCGTTCGCCTGGTCACAACACGTCGGTGTGCAGGATAAAAAGAGTCGTGACTCAAATTGCTCGGTAATTTATTTCATAGAGGACCCCTATAACGCCCAATTTGTCCGGTCAACAAGGTGACCCGACAAAGAACCAAATAAAGGAGTGTGCTCGACTGAGAAATGGCGATATCGTCTGTATTCATTGCCCGTTCTTTTCCGTACCAACGAGTACATGAAAAGTGACAGTCATCTATTCCAAGCCGTTTACACGAAAGATGATCACTTTCGTGAAATTAAACGCAACTGTCCTTTCTAAGTTGTGGATTTTTTTTTATAAACCTAGATATAGATGTATTAATATAGGTGTATGGTATACTGCGCCCTTTGA